CAAGAGTGCTCTCACTGAGCTCAGCATTCTGTTGAAAACTAATCAAGTTATACACATAGTTGATAGTACAAGACCACATGGAGTTGACACGTGTGGGTATGCCATGAACAGGTGGACATCACCATAAAGACATAAATGTAAAGGCCCACGTAGGCCCCGGGGCGTATGAAATAGCAAGCACGGTTTCCTGGCCGTATACAAGGGCACGGGTGTTCTTTTGGACCCGGGCGTATACTTGGTATAAAACTGTTGAAATTCTCTCCTTGCCAGGGCAGGCGACAATGGTACGGCTGGTGCGGCCATGGCCGTACCAGTGTTTACCAATTCCAGTGTCCATGGGCTGCTCGTTGTGCAATTGATCGTCTGGAAGTACTCTTAGTATTATGCTATTCTCGTACACTCCTAGCTGCTAGAATCTCTCCCTCTTAAACCGTTCGTCTTGTCCAGTGAGGTCTACTGCGCTAGATGTTACATCTGTTACTAGAGGAATGTGTAGCTGAAACAAACAGACATGATGCAGCATGGAGCTAGAGATATTATCCTTCTATCATACTGGCGTTGGGCATGGGAGATCATCGATCTTGTAGCCAACCTGGGGCCTCACCACCCCCTCAGCAGCTGACTCCCAGCCTGCTTGCCCTCAGCAGCTGACTCCTGGCCTGCAGTTGCTCAATAACTGTATCCACTTCACTACCATCCGAATTCATGGAGATGCCACATTTCTTGAATGAGCGAACAATCATATCTTTGTCGCCACAGATCTAGTGCTATCCATTTGCAACCCATGTAGTGATCAGCACATGGCTCTCTGACGCAGAGATCTTGCCATCGGTATACAGCTGCAGATTCTCATGCTGGTGCTCCTCGTGTTGTTCGCCGCGAGACGGCACCCTTGAATGGCTTGTTGATCGATACCTCCAGTGGCTGAAATTGACCCGTGCCCAGCCAGCAGGCACAGCAACGGAAGAGGTCTTCCGCTGTGTGAGCAATTGCTTGACGTCGTCGGACTGCTGAGCGCGGTGCATGTCCATGACAAGCAGCTTGTCAGTTGCGGATACTGGTGCGGGGTTCGTAAAGACGTTGCTCCACTCTGACTCTACCCATTCTTTCATCACAGTTCCGTCACTCCGCGCATTGGCTTGGAACATGACTTGAACTCTAGGGCCCCGAGCATCTCTCTCCTTTTTAGAGATTCGCTTGCTCTGGCCAGGGAACACAATGAGCGGACGAACACGGCTCTTACCATCTGCGAAAGCAGTCAGCTAAACTGTGCTTTATCTCTTGTCCGAACCCTAGCCACCTGATGTACACCACAGTTCCTTCGCACCAGTCTTGTCAAATGTTTTTCCATCGTGCAAGACAAGTGGCTGGCAGAGGGGTTTAGTCCATGTTCGCAATATCGCTTGGCAAGAACACTCCCTACTTTCTTGTGGCATGGAGCACTTCGTCACATTGAACGATTGTCTGCGCTAGTGCCTGTGGTCCTGTGGAGCTTTTTGGGACACTTGCGTCTCTTTTCGGAAGCCGACATTGATGCGAACACAGAATCTCCTGAGCCAGTGTTAAGAGAACTTGAATGACGACGCAGCTCCAGGATCCATTTCTGCCATAATACAAGGACTTTGGCTTGAGTAACAAACCACCATCGCTGTATTTTTTCCTTCCGCGCGCTGCTGTCGGAACTCATCGTGCAGCCGCTTTGCCATTGCCGAGAAGAAGGACGTTCTTCCAAATCCAGTAGTGCGGCTCCCCACAAGCATCTTCATAATGTCAGCTCCTGCTTTCCTCCATTCTCGCACTCTTTTCGATGCCCGACAAAACTGCTTTGCTGTGGCCGAAGCGTTTTGACCAGTCTTGTCGAACCAGGCTAGCACATTGACTTTCTTCTCCCTAGAAAAGGAAGCTCTCTTTGCAGGTTCAGAAGCGCTAGCGGGGGCAGCAGAACTCATGATAAAACTTGAAAGGCAGCCAGAAAGGATCTGGACTCTATCTGAGCTCACTTTAGCAAATAATCTACGAAAGTGATGAAGTCACGCAAGGAGAGTCAGGAAAACAGGTCTCTCACCCAAACTTGGCTGCCTTCTGTTGCGTTACTGCAACAGCACTAAGGGTAAATGCCCATGCACACTCTCTCAGTCCAACACGACCATCACACTCAGGTAGGAATTACAAACTATACTTGATGAAGACAGAAGGAGAAGAGCAGAACACGGGGAACAGAGTAGGCATGTAAACAGCACAGGCACGCAACAGTTACCGCTGGTGCATGCGAGGTGCATGTGCGTACGCGAAGGTGTGAAATAGGAAGCGGGGTCAAATTACATATGGATGCACTATGCCAAATATATAGGCACAGGTAGGTGACTGTACACCTTCAACCCCAGCACGTGTGTTTTACATCTTCGCGTAGTCCCGTAGGTCAGCTTTGTGCTGGCCCACAGTCCATAAATAGCAATATACAGTAAAACTGGAATACTGCATACGCGCATGACAGATACCGTACCATACTTTGAACCGCGTACACACCTGGGCGCGTACATGGGGCATGGACGCTATCTTGAAACAAAAGTTTGACTTCCCCTGACTGGGCTTTTACACAGGGGGTGGGGGGAGGGCGTATACACCGACTTTTACAGTATGTAACACACTCCTTCAAGATGCCTGGGAGAACTGATACTGTGTGACCAAGCAATGACCGATATTCCGAAAGTGGCATAGCATGTGAGCGCAAATAAACTTCAAAGCAAATCATGGAATATGCGATTGTCCACGAGTCGAGGAAATGTTCAAACAAGATGTTGGCTTTCTATTACGCTTGCTATGCCAAGGTGGCAGTGCAGCAAAAGCGACATCTGCTGATCGGGACGTAGCAGAACACAGAAGAGGAAGTAGAGAGATCCTGTGTCAGTGAAATCGACGATTGTGCCAGCACAGACGGCCACTGGGCAACCTCAGTACACACAACCACTGGTCAAGCTGACATGGTGGTTGTGGTATATAGTAATACTATGTATCAATACCAACAGAACCATGACGGTGCCAGTGCCAGTGCCACAGTAATGTAGATGTGATGGTCCTGCTCATCCACATGTGGGCAGATCTGTGACCGCGACAGGAATAGCATGAGGTAGGCTATGCAGATGGAGTACTGCCATCCAATTCAGTAGTACGTTGCAGCCAGTATTAAGTTAACCATAACTTGGCCAATGTTCCCAAATTTTATTTGAAACCACATTTTCTTGATCCACGGAGGGTGGTGGCGTCCCTACGGATGCAGAAAACTCGGCCTCTAGCCGAGTCTAACGCGAACTGTGAATTTTGTTTCTTTTTTTCTGACCTGAAATATTGTGTGCTGTCGGGGTTTTGGGCCTGAAGTTAACACCAAAGTTACACACTCCATTGTATGGTCCAGCGAGTATGGTATGTTTGTACTGACGCGTTGTGTCTTGTGATCTGGATGATTCTACATGCAGTTCATGGTGAATAATTCCCTTGATGCTCATCCTAAATTTTCTCTTTCTTTATTCCTTTGTTGTCTCGTGTTTCTCTGGTCGTCGCTGCAGTCCCGTCTTGCTGTCAATTCTGTTGTACATGGTGATGTCGAGCGGCCTGTACAGATTGCAGCGTTCATCAATGAGATGAACAGCGCTTTCCAGCTGCTCAACCTGAAGAACGACTTCCTGCGCAGGCGCTACGATGGCCTCAAGTACGACGTACGTAAGGTGGAGGAGGTTGTCTATGACCTCTCCATCAGGGGTTTGAAGAACCCTGGAGAGCCTGGCTCTGGCTAGATGGAAGTCTTCTGGTTTGGCCGGACGACGGACGTGTTCCTGTTTTCAGTTTGGCTGGCCGTGCACTTACTTTGATCACCGTGTCGATTGCAGTAAGAAGAACAGTGTGCTGGTGAGTTGGATGGTAACGATGGTATTGTCACATCGACGCATGCATGAACACTGTGGTGAAGTTGAACTCCGCTGGGCCGAAAACTGTGTTCGTGTTTCAGTGCGTGTCTCCAACACCTTGCCATCGGGTAGCAATCATTCGGTGCGGCCTACACACTGTGCTGGTGCTTGCCAACCAGCCACAGACTGTCCTGTGAGTGCCGTATGTCCTTGCACCACTCGCCGCTAAGCGTCTTGGCACTAGCAGCACACACTGGCACCGCACTGTATGTGTGTGTGTGTATGTGTGTGTGTATGTGTGTGTGTGTGTGTGTGTTGTTGGTGGTGGCAGTGGCAGTGTCCATTTGGACAACTTCTACCATGTGTGTAGCGGTTGTATGCAGCTTGGCTATCGCTTCCTGCAAGCCCACGGCACTAGCCTGTTGCCAGTATTCCTTGGTTGACCTTGCTAGCTTGACAACACCACTGCACTATAATATATCGTGTGAATCATGTCCCATGGTTATGTGCCAAACTCAGTCAAACTTGGCCTTAACCCAACAACATGCACTGCAGCACTCATTGTTCTGATGAAGGAAAGGACACTGAGTCACCAGCTGACATAACATTGTGCTTTGTTTCTTCAAGTGGCAAATGTGTACAATCACCACTGTGTGACGGCAGAATATGTTCAGGGTACATCTGTGGAAGTCATACTGGCTTTGTGAGATTCAGTTATGTTGCATGTGCTACACATGAGTTATATGTGTTGCTTGTAATTACCATGCACAGTCATCTAGTGCCTTGCTATGCCATCGCATGACACTCCACCCATGTACGGCTTATCTGCACATGACACGCGTTCATGATCAACCAACCTATGACTATGTGGTCTAGCTTGTCATCGTATTGTACACATCCGGTTCTGGATCCTTCTCTCTTCTTCTACTGCTTCTAGCACCTTCCGTCCAGTGCTGATAATCTGGAGTGATTTGCATTTCTTTGTTCTTGTTGTTTATGTTCCCAAGCCTTTTTTTTAAAAGTGAAGTCAAAATAGAATGCTCTCGCATGTTGGGTGTGTGTGCTCACAATAAGTAACAAAGTTCAAGGATCGAACTTTACATGGTGTCAGAATAATGTCAACCCGCACAGCCCCGGTCCCTGACCGCTTCGACTTTTCTGCCCCGCGCAGAAATGGCCTCTGTGGCGAGAACGATTCTCGACCTACCGCCTTGCTATTAAGCTTCACAAGGAAGATGGTGAGGTCCAGGTAGCAGCTCTGAAATATGCGTTGGGTCCGGACGCTGAGCCTGTGTTCTTGCAGCTTCAGTTTGACGCAGACGCTGATAAGAAAGACTTCGACAAAATGGCATTAATGCTCAAGAAGTTTGGTGACTATTTCACCCCGAAGACGAACCTATTCCACGAGTGGATGGTGTTCGAGCGTGCAGCGCAGCGTCCAGGTGAGACGGTGGAAGAGTTTCTCCCACGTCTGCACGTGATAGCTGAGACATGCGAGTTCGGAAACTACAAATCCGATCGCATTCGTGACCATTTCGTTGCCACCTTGCTAGATGAGAAATTAGCAACGGACTTGCAGCTGACGGACAATCTGACCTTGGAAAAGGCTACAGAGAAAGCTCGCGTGTACGAGCTCGTCCGCCAGCAAGTCGCCTCACAGCGCGGCCATGCCAGTGCTACACCTGCGTCAGCCGCTGTCGCTGGTGCTTCTGCTGCTCCTCGTAAGAGCACAGGATCGTTCAAGAGTAAGTCTGATGGACCTGCCGGCAGTCAGTCTCACAATCTCTGCATGTTTTGTGGTGGTAAGTCCCATACCCGCGACCGCTGTCCTGCTCGGGATGTTACCTGCCGCAGCTGCTCCAAGAAAGGCCATTACGCCCGTGTGTGTCGCTCATCCGAGAAGGGGTCACACTCATCTTCCAGGCAATCCAGTAGCTCTGGTGCACATTCTCTGGCCACACAGGACGATCCGGGTGTGACTGAGGATTGGGCCTACTTGGATTTAGATAGTATCGCATCAGGCAGCAGTCCATGGATGTGTGATCTGCTGTTGTACGGGAAGTCCGTACCGTTCAAGATTGACACTGGAGCGGATATCACTGTGATTACTCCAGCAACATACGAATCCCTCAAGTCACCACCGCCTCTGAGCTCTCCTACAACACGGTTGACAGGAGCCAATGGTGATAGCATCGACTGCAAAGGCACATTCAGCGCAACTTTGTCCAGCCCAAAGCTCAGTTCCTCGCAGCACCAGCTGGAGATTCACGTTCTGACACGGGGCAAATCCAACCTCCTGAGTCGCGAAGCCTCACAAGCAATGGGTTTTGTGTTCAAAGGCATCTCAGAAGCGAAGCAGCCACCTTTTGGACGCATGCTGGGTGAGCCCGTCAAGATCGCTCTGAGGCCTGATGCCGCTCCATACCAGTGCTCAACAGCTCGTCGCGTGCCGATTCCGATCCTGCCGAAGGTCAAAGCAGAGCTTGTCCGCATGGAAGCTGCCGATGTCATTACAAAGATCACAGAGCCTACGGACTGGTGCGCACCCATGGTGCCCGTTGCCAAAAAGAACGGCGACGTCCGGATCTGCGTAGATCTGCGACGTCTGAATGCTTCGGTCAGGCGCGAAACCTTCATCCTGCCCACTGTCAACGAGACATTGCCATTGGCGAAGCTGAGTGGCGCAACATGCTTCACCACCCTGGATGCAGCAAAAGGTTTCTGGCAGGTGCCTCTTGATGCCGAAACAGCTAAGCTCACCACGTTCATCACGCCATTTGGACGTTACTACTTCCGCCGGCTTCCGTTTGGCATAACATCGGCGCCAGAAATATTCCAGCGCAAGTTAATGCAATACCTGGATGGCCTTCCAGGGGTGTGCGTCTTCATGGACGACATCCTGGTCTTTGGTGCGACAGTCGAGGAGCACGATGCTACCTTGGAGAAGGTCCGATCAATCCTGCGCAATGTTGGTGTCGCCCTTAACCCCGACAAGGAACATGTTCGCCAACCGTCAGTTGAGTTCTTGGGCCATGTCGTCTCCGCTGATGGAGTCAGCCCCAGTCAGCAGCGCCTCACCGCTATCTCCGAGCTCCAGGCACCAGCCGATCTCCCTGCACTACGTCGCGTGCTGGGTATCTCAGCAAGTTTCTGCCAGAAATGGCCACCGTTTCTCAGCCGCTCCGATTGCTCCTCCGCGCTGACACAGTGTGGTGTTGAGATGCTCTCCAAGAAGAAGCTTTCCAACGACTCAACCAACTCGCTAGCCAGTCTCCGTGCCTAGCATTCTACGACGTCTCTAAGCCAACTCTTCTGCGTGTTGATGCCAGTGGCTATGGTCTGGGAGCTGTTCTCCTCCAGCAGCAGTCAGCTGGCTGGCAACCTGTCGCGTACGCCTCCCGATCTCTCAGCGACGCCGAGCGCAACTATGCGCAGATTGAAAAAGAATGTCTAGCCATCGTCTGGGGATGTGAGTACTTCGCCCAGTATCTCGTTGGTAGCAAGCCATTCACGGTGCATACTGACCATAAGCCCTTGGTTCCCCTGGTAAACAGCCGTGATCTAGATCGAGTGCCACTTCGTTGCCAGCGTCTGCTACTTTGACTGGCTCGTTTCGACGTCGCTGCCGAGCATGTACCCGGCCGTGATCTCGTTGTGGCCGATGCTCTCTCTCTCGTGCACCACTACCTACCACCGTCTCTACCTCGTCTGTTCTGACTGACGAGATCGCTTCTCTTGCCGATTCAGCTGGCGAAGAGTACATGTCGTCTGGATTCTCGCTTGCCCTACGAGATGCCACCCAGGCTGACCGCGTCCTGCAGCAAGTTGCTAAGTTTGTTCAGTCTGGCTGGCCTGACCACAGCAAGGACGTCCCTGCTGACTTCCTCCCATACTTTGCCGCCCGCCAGCATCTCTCTGTTGCCAACGGTCGTATCTTCTATGGTGCACGTGTGGCTGTGCCTGCATCTCTGCGTGATATGGTCATCCGCAAGTTGCACACGTCTGCTCATCACGGTATCGTCAAGTGCCAGGCGCAGGCCCGCCAATCTGTCTGGTGGCCGTCCTGGAAGAATGACGTCGCTTCCGCTGTTACGCAATGTCGCACATGCTGTCAGCACCGTAGCCAACCTCCTGAACCTCTCCGACCGACTGAGTTTCCTTCACTCCCGTGGCAGCGAGTTGGTTCTGACCTGTGTCAATTCGGTAACACAACATACCTGGTAGTTGTCGACTACTACTCGCGCTATGTTGAAGCCTTGCCTCTCCGTTCCACCACGTCTGCCTCTGTCATCACTGCTATGAAAGCCATCTTCGCCTGGCACGGTGTGCCTGAGACTCTCATCACGGACAATGGGCCGCAGTATGCAAGTGATGAGTTCGCCCGGTTTAGCTGTCAATGGAACTTTGATCACGTGACGAGCTCTCCGCATCACCCGCAAAGCAATGGGGAAGCAGAGCGTGCAGTGCGCACTATCAAGCAGCTTCTAGCGAAGTCGGACGATTTCCAACTGGCTCTCCTCACCTACCGTAGTACGCCACTTCAGAGCGGGTTCTCGCCATCACAGTTACTGATGTGCCGCAGCCTCCGTGGTACGCTACCGGTGGAACCCTCCACTCTCCTGCCGACGCTCCCTGCAGGTAAGAAGCTGAGGGAGTGGGAGCAACATCGTCGAGCACAGTCAAAGGATAACTTTGATACACGTCACCGGACCAAGCCTCTCCAGCCACTGCAACCTGGTGATAGCGTGTGGATTGCAGATCAGCAGAGAGAAGGGACTGTTAAGTCATCGCTGTCTGATCGGTCTCTGCTGATTGCAGTACCCAGCGGCACGATCCGTCACAACCGGCATCAGTTTCCTGCCCGCTAGTCCACCGGAGTCTGTTGAGATTCCCAATAGTCCTCCAGCACCCGGCCGGCCGCAGCGTGCCCGACATGCCCCCAGTCGCCTCATTGAAGAGATTTGACAGTCTCTCCGTCTCTCTCAGAGTTATCATGCGATTTCTTGCAAGTTTGTCGCAGCTGTTTTTCAGTCTCGACATTATCGTGCTTTGTTCTTTGAGTATTCCTCCGATTTCTTTCCTAAGGGGGGAGATGTTGCATGTGCTACACATGAGTTATATGTGTTGCTTGTAATTACCATGCACAGTCATCTAGTGCCTTGCTATGCCATCGCATGACACTCCACCCATGTACGGCTTACCTGCACATGACACGCGTTCATGATCAACCAACCTATGACTATGTGGTCTAGCTTGTCATCGTATTGTACACATCCGGTTCTGGATCCTTCTCTCTTCTTCTACTGCTTCTAGCACCTTCCGTCCAGTGCTGATAATCTGGAGTGATTTGCATTTCTTTGTTCTTGTTGTTTATGTTCCCAAGAAGTGACGTCAAAATAGAATGCTCTCGCATGTTGGGTGTGTGTGCTCGAAATAAGTAACAAAGTTCAAGGATCGAACTTTACAAGTTAGGCCACACTGCTGCAGAATGATTCAGCTTGTCCTCAGCATCACTGGCATTGTATTGGCTAACAAGTTGACAGCAGTACATGTACTACAATTTTTTCTCTGAGTGACTGTACGGTACTCCCTGAATGTACCACAACTGAAATCCGACCCCCTGAGCGGAGCGCTCACATCGCAAAGAATGTGAACCCACCGTTCAGGGGCCTAGGGGGTCGTATTTCAGTTGCCAGCCCTGTACATGTACTTGCACACCTTTTCTAGTGTTCTTCTTCTTTTCCCAGGTTTCATTTTCCTTCCCTGGCGTCATTTTATTGCGTTTCCATCCATTCTGGCCTGTATTATCTTTTAACAGAATGTATCTAAACGTCTCAAGGCAGAAAGCACGACATTATCGTTATTGCTGGCTGTGGCTTGTGTGCAGTATCACAGCTGACTGTACTGTACTGTATGGCCAGTGAAGTCTGACCCAGCGGCCAAACTGTCAAGCGGCCATTGACACCCTAGCCCTGCTGCTTTTCTGTGAAACTCACCTCGCATCCTGATCCTGCATACTCATGTCGAAAAATGAGTACTCTAATTTCAATCTGCGGACAGCATGCTGTTTCGTTCTTTTTGAACTCATCAGCGCAGCACAGAGAAAATGAGGCCGAACCTGATAGCAATGGAAATAAAAATTTCCAATCAGGCCCGAACGTACCTTACTCTAATTTCAGAAATTTTAGGTGCTCAATATTTTCAGTATGAGGGCAAAAGGCCAGGTTTAGGTGAACAGAAAATTTAGGTACAGAGAAGCAGTCCCCTATTGCAGTATTGGATTACGTGTGTTAGTGTTTGTTTGTTCGGTGTATTGAAATTTTAGATGTGAACTGATGCACCGGAAGTACCGAAAATATAAGCACACCGAAAATTTGTAAAAGTAGCAATTACAGTATGCAGGATGCGAAGTGAGTTGCATGAAAAAACTACCAGTGCTGCGCATGGTATAATGTAGAGGTCAGTGGCCGGATTTCACTATCCAAGATCGGCGCCATGTACGGTAATCTTTTTCTCGTCATAGATACACTGAGACACACACACACACACACACACACACACACACACACACACACACACACACACACACACACACACACACACACACACAGCCAGCTGGACTAGGTGTTCATCCCCAGTCTGATCAGTGACTCTGCTGTCTGTTTCTGGAAGTCCTTGCCACTGGTAACCATGGTGATGTTTGAGACACACACACGTACACCACAATGCAATTATTATTTTTAGGGTGTTGTTGCAGTTTCAAATCTTTAATGACTTTATTCTCACGATAGCTTGTTGTTGTTGTTGTTGTTTGAAATATTTTATTCTCACGATGGCCTGTGGCCAATAAGAGATTTGTTGTTGTTGTTGTTGCTGCTGCTGCTGCTGCTGCTGCTGCTGCTGCTGCTGCTGCTGCTGTACCTGTAGTAGTAGAAGACTAAACTGCCACAATTGTGTTGTACGCCAATGCAAGCAGTGCCAACAATCAGGAAATTCTTTTCATTATGGATACGAGTTAAGAGTAACTCTCCATCACTGTAACATGATACTTTATCCAGTCAGAAAGTGCAATAACTAGGCACAAAACTGACAGAGTACTGAGACATTGCGACGTCCTGACACCTAGCTTCAACACATCTCCGTAGCGCTAACCGACAGCCTTCCAACTTGGAAGGTTCAAGGTTACGAAAAGACCAAAGCGGTCAAAGCTTGTGCAATTCGTTGTCGCAAAGTTTCCCATTTCTTTACTTATCTTTGATGACCCACCCAAGTTGGGTGGTGTGCTGCTTTGCTGCTTCGAATTGTAGTTAGACCGCTTTGTCAAATATCGTACTGGTCTCGTCATCGTCCAGTAACAATCGACATTCTTTGTTCCGTTGGGACTGTAGCTTTTGCTTGTTTTCGTTGCGCTTGCCTTCCCCGCTTTGGTCTTTTCGTAACCTTGAACCTTCCAAGTAACACTAACAGTTGGAAGGCTGTCGGTTAGCGCTACGGAGATGTGTTGAAGCTAGGTGTCAGGACGTCGAATGTCTCAGTACTCTGTCAGTTTTGTTTATGGCTCAACATCCGAGTTTCAAATTCTTTTCACTTTCAGCTTATGAGACCAGGGACTGAAGAAGAGTGAGGGAGTAGTACCCTGTTTGTGACTGCCCTCACTCCTCAGGATTTTAGTGCAATCAAATCATCTAATATCTTGCATGTAATTATATTTGCCCAGACTAGACGATGGATGGGCCTGCATTCTTCCTGCCCAGACACTGGGACAGCACAGAGCAGTCGTGACTCGTGTTGTTACTAATACTAATAGTACAATGTAGTATACTAATGTTAGCCCATGGCCCAGTCACTGAGTCAGTCAACTACATAATCATTGTGTAATTGTCACTATTACTTCACAAATGACTCACTCAGTCAGCACTGACTCAGCAGCCTCATGCTCAGCAGCCGGGCACTGAGGAGTGAGGTCAGTGAGGAAGCCCGAGCCGTTACGTCGTTAGGACTACGGTCATGTAGGAGCAGCCACCTACTACATGTACAATGTACAATGTACCTTCTTTTACAAGATAATGAAAACGCGCTAGGACCGTAGTAGTAGGAGTATGCGGTGGCGCCTTGACATGGATCCAACTACCGGTACTTTCTACGTAGACATACAAGACTTCTTGGTGTCTTGGTAGTACTACTAGTACTAGTAGTAGATCTACTCGTACCGGCAGTGTTGGACCAGTGCCAGTGCCAGTGGTAGATCTACATGCTGGTGGTAGAGCTGAAGCTGAAGCTAGGCTGACTGTCTATGATGTGTGATAGTCGGCGCGGTGTCTCTTGATCACGATCTCGCACACTTACACACGCACGCCCTCTCTCGCAGGTCCTTTTTTCCACGTCCTATTGTCATGATTGTAGATCTACTTGGTACTTCCTAGGACTATGTCATTGGGCGGTGACCTTGGTGGTTTCGATTTTTCGCAAAGGTCTGTCACAAGATCAAACGTCGTCGCACACACGCACACACGCACTGATAATGCTCGCCGACGCCTACCCCCTGTGATCCGCTATCCTTGCGTGATCTATCATCTAGTCTACAAGTGTGTACAACTTCAACTAAAGTTCAAGACTACAAGTACAAGTAGATCTACGTCGTTCTAGTCTGTACTGGCTGGTCTTGCTCTCAAGTCTCAGTCTTAGTACTCTTACTGACTGTGCCCTAGCCTAGGCTAGGCCTGGCTGCTAGCCTAGGCTGCTGCTAGTGCTACTACCGGTAGTAGATCATTCTACTGTCCGTTGACCGTGCATTGGGGACGGCGAGGCTTCCCGCACCGCGAGCCTACACTACACTCTACAGCGACACAGCCATGATGTTGTTCCTTCCCATCCTCCAACTCACTGACTTATTATTGTCGTGAATTATAATATCGGCCTCTGGATATTATCCTTCTCTCTTTCTCCTTGTTTACCGTCAGCGTGGAGTCGGTTTTTGGACGCGCAGCTTCCGGGCCTTGACATCTTCGACATTGCCATCGGCCCATCGGAATTGCACTGTTGTCTCTCAGACTCTATACTATAGCCCACAGGCAAAATCGACCTGTCGTCTGCATTGGTTTCCTCCATATCGTTCCGGCGGTGCCAACGCGAGCAAGCCGTACAGCAATCGGCGCCGGCGAGCGCAGCGAGGCGGGGACCTTTCTCAAAGCAGCTGCTCGTCGAAATAATTAATTACTGAGCGCTTGAAGGCCGGTGAGAAGACAAACAACCGTGAGTTACTATTACCTACATCACACATGTACTTACATGCACAAGCCATGCAGTTGTGTGTATCGACGGACTATCGGCGGACTGTCGAGTGTTGTCAGTACGTCCTCTCTCTTGCCGGTATCTGCGCTACCGCAATGCTAATAATTAATAAGACATACCGATTATTATTATTGTATTGGTCCTCAGTCTTGTTTCATGTATTGTTGCACATATGCGGTCCCGACCCCACTCTGTGCTCCTTTGTGGAAGATGACTTCTCGTATTCGTAATTGTTGTTGTGTAGCTACACAGTGAGAATCAGCGTCAGTACTATTACTAGCGAGCAAGTTTGTGAGTGCCGGTATCGACAGTAATTTTGTTCAACATGGATGCCAGCCAGTTTCGACCGTGCCCCCAGGACGTTCTCCTCCAGCTTCAGAAGCTAGAAGACCTTCGCAAGCGATGCGTCCTGCTTGTGAAGGTGCGGGTGGACGAGTTCGTCGTGAAGTTCGTTGGTGAAGACAATTACACGGTGAGTGTTGTGCTGCGGGCCTGCGGCACATTCTGAACACGTGTATTACTGTATTTCCCCGTAAGTAAAGTTAGTAGATCTACGTACTACGGTAACTTTCGAACTTAGCAGCCACATGAGTAGATCTAGTACTAACTAATTACTTTCGGGGGTGGTACTATCTTTCGGGGAGTACTTTTTTTATGGGGGGGGTAAATGACACGCAGTGGGAAGCCTGCGCAACTCTACAGTCCATTTCAAAACTATACGCGTGAACTCATACGTAGATCTACGAGTACTCGAGTGTACATACTGTAGCTAGGCTTTTCCACAGTACACAGGAGAGCCCCTCGATAGGCCTCTGCGGCCTTTGGACAATCCTTATAAAATCAATCAATCAATCAATCACATTATGTTTTGCATAATTTTTGCATCTTGGGGTAAAAATGAATCCCCGTTGTAAAAATGCATCTTTCGTGATTTTTGCTAGATTTTCTTCAAAAACAACAACGTTTGCGTGGTTTTTGCCAGATTTTCTTCAAAAATAACAAATTTGGCGTGATTTTTGCCAGATTTTCTTAAAAAACATAAAGTTTTGCAAGTGTTAGCTAAACTTTAGCCTACAGGGTTTTTTTCTTCTGCTGGCAAGACTTGAGCTTGCCCCACACCTGACGTAACCTGACTCTTGAGTCTTGTCAGTCTCGAAATATGCCCGGCACTACGTTTATAGGATGGGGCCGGCAGGCGGCGCGGCAGTGCATGATGATGTGCATGCATACACGGGCACATGTCCTGTAGGCCATATTATGGTTCCCTGATGCCAACATGTACTGTACATGCTTCGAATCAGGGAGTCGTAAAATACCGGTATTTTACGACTCCCTGCTTCGAATGAATTTGGCAGCCATCTTGTTGCCATGGCAACGGGTGAATAATTTTCGCATATTGGGTGATTTTTGAATTTTTTTAGATTTTTTTCAAATCTATCCATTTTTGAGAATAACATCATTCCCCCAAAAAAATCGAGTTTTACATCCACATCTTTCCAATATTTTTTCGAATAATGTGGAAAAGCCCCTAACTGTAGCGCACGACAGCTGTGAGTTTTGCATGAGTGTTTTCTGGTTTTCAGATGTGTTTTCAGGTTTTTCTTCGTCGCCGCGGGAAATACAAAAGATGCAAAACACGCAAAGTCGCAAATGAAAAGGTGTGAGGAAAGTAGGCCTCAGCGGCTTATGCTAGTTTTTTTGGGCAAAAATGCTTTTGGCAATGCTAGCTATTTTGGTTGCTAATGCCAGGTTGAGTGCTCGTTTGCAGCATTAATGCTAGTTTCAGCACCAATAAAAAGGAAAGAAAATGGTGTACAGAAATACTTTTCCGGATGGTCTTGTGTATAATTTCATTGTAGACACGATCAGATGAAACAGGGCACCATGGTGTGTGTGTGTAGGTTTGGCGCTTCCAAATAAACACCCTTAGCATTGAGACGATAACGCTAGCGGTAACGGTATTTTGATTGTGGCCGGACCAAGAGTACCCATTTTGTTACTGTATGGCATATATGTACCCTTGAATCCTGTTGTGCACTTGCTGTGTGCCAGAAGAGGCCCAGACTCCATAATTGGTGCAAACATTACCATATGGGTCATTGCAGCGTATGCCTTGGAAAGGTTTTTTAGCCCCCAGGCCCCTTTTAATGCTTTTTACCTCATAAAACCTGCTTGCAATGCTAGAGCAATGCTAGTTGCCAAAAAAGGCCTTTAATGCTACTTTTAATGCTAGCATTAGCCGCTGAGGCCTAGAGGAAAGTCTCAAAAGAAATGAAAGTCTCAAATGAATCTTGAATCTTGCATTTTCTGAGTGCCTGACTGTAATGGCTTCCAAGGCCCGTAAGAATCTCAGTGATGCCGAGAAAGATATGATTAGTCGTGTTCATTGTTTCTTCGAACAAGAGCTGGATTTTGATCGACGCTTGAGTATCCGAAATCCTCGTCGTCGAACTCACCTTGCAACTGGCGTGAGTGAAACCACTGTCACTCGTTGTGTCAGGCGAAGTTGGGGAGGAGGTGGCTACTATCTTGTTGGTGGTGAAAATCTTATTTATTCTGAAGGCAAAGCTCAAAACGAGTCTCCTACCAAAACAGGCCGGCCAAAGGTGGAACTGGACGACTTCACGAAGTGTTCTGTGATGCAGGTGTTTCACGGTGTGGAATTGAAAGTTCACAGACCATTGAGCTTGTGGAGCCAGCTTTGTTTCATAATGTATGGTGTCTGGTTTTATGTATTGTTCATGGTTGGTTTAGCCCTCAGGACTCTCTATTCACTGGCTGTTCCGCTGCATGCATGACAGCTCTCACCTCTTACTCTATTGTAGACTTGGGCTAGCGCTAGCTTCTGAGAACGGGACAACGTCCCAATCTTGCAGCCTGAGGGATATTAGCCCCATCTTTCTTAGTCTAGTTCAGTGTTATTACGAGCGTTCTCACGAGAGTGTTATGCTCGGTTTGTTATGAGTTTGTCGCGCTGTCGTTACATGTGTATTATGGACAATACAGTGTAACGTCAGTCAGCAGAATACAGTCTTCACAGATTCTTTGGTGTTGATACCAACGTAACAAGTAAAGTGAATCTCTGTCCCCATGTTTCGTGAGCTGGTGCAACTTGTGGTTAGGTGTCTGTAATCTAACACACGGATTTTTTCGTGAGAGACAAATTCCAACGGTGTCAAAGGTGTTCCTTTTCTTCGGAAAGGGAACAGGGGGGCTCAAATCATATCAATAAGAGAAAATATAATTATCATCCCTACTGTATTTCACCCAACAAGATCCAAAACATGCAGAAAAGAAGAGAAAAAAGGCAGGAGGCGTGATGGGATTCGAATGCCCCACACTTGTGCTGGAAATCACGGATCGAAACCACGAGGCTACCAGGACCCGAACAAAAATGCACCCGCGATGGTCTGGACGCAGCACTGTCTCAGCAGGAGCAAAAATCCGAAACAAACTGGTCAAACCCTTCAAAACAGAAATTACATGTAAAACCGGAAAACCTGGCCTAAAAATAAACTTCAATTGTAGCGAAAACAAAGTATATAGCCAGAATTGTGAAGCGATGCAGAGACGGAATCTGGAGAAAAACTAAAAATATTTAAATAAATCCCATCGCATTTTGCAAAACACTACGCGTTTATAGTTTTGAAATGGACTGTAGTGTCCGTGCATATGATGTATGTACTGTACGGTGTCTGCACATGTAGGACGGGTACGAACTTACTAACTTATCTTGGGGGGGGGGGGGACTGTATTTCGGGGTGATAACCTCGGCAGTGGAAAGTGTATTTTTTATAGGGGGGTACTAAGTCATTGAGGAGAACTAACTTACGGGGAAATACGGTATTGTATTGTGACCTGCCCCACTGCAGCCAGTCACATCCAACAAGGAGAGAAAGAGAGGGTAAAGTGCAACGTGAACTGAGCAAAACCCATAGCAATACACACAGCCTGCAGCTATTAGACATCAGTAACTTGCCTTAGCAAAAAAACGTTATGTTGTAACGATATTACCATATTGGGGGAAATACCGTGATTTGGGTTCGACCTTTGGCTAGATGCACGCTATTTTTAGTACGCTGTTGTCACGAGAATAGCTTTTATTTCGCGCGCGCGCGCGCGCGCGCGCGCGCGCGCACGCGGTTCAACCATTTATGTCACCATATTCTCGATACAAGGTGAAATGCGTACGGACTATGCAATATTTGGCCAAATCGCAACGATAAATCAGCCCACATAACGTTTTTACACTGCAGCTTTAACGCTATTTGGGTGTTTTTACACTGCAGCTTCAACGCTATTTGGGTGATCAAGGTACGAGTACCGTAAGAAAATAGCGTTACCAAATAGCGTTACCGTTGTTTGCTAAGGGTGTGTAATGCACAACAGGGGCCCTACCAGAGGTAGTCTGTGGGCCAAGTGGCAAAAATGTGAATTTTCGTTCCGATCAAGAGGGCACCAGCAATTTTTTTGGCCGACTCGATAGATGGACTGGCATACAGGGAGTAAAGTACAAATCAGCACTGGTTGCCATGGTAACCATAACCTGAAATTGGACTTTCTGGGTAATTGTAATGTTTTTGGAAGAAATCACATGGAAACGAGTTACTCAATTGCAAACGAGTTATGAAGCAACTATCCACGACTGTAAGTAGAGTTATGAAGCAACTATCCACGACTGTAAGTAGAGTTATGAAGCAACTATCCACGACTGTAAGTAGAGTTATGAAGCAACTATCCACGACTGTAAGTAGAGTTATGAAGCAACTATCCACGACTGTAAGTAGAGTTATGAAGCAACTATCCACGACTGTAAGTAACTATCCACTGTGACTGTAAGTAGATATTACACATTACTCCATATACTGTAGAACGGGTAATTTTAGCGTTTTCCCATTGTCAACCGGTTAGCGACGTTTTATTTTAGCGATTTGCAGCGATTTTACTCACGGATCACCAGTGCACTACTAATGTCTCGACGGATTAGCGGCTTGAAACTTAAGCGAAAATGAGTCGATCGCTAAATTCGCTAGGGTTTTTACGTCGCAAAAATTACCCGTTCTTCAGTACACCCACAGTCTTAGGCATGCCCTCCCTTAGTGGTGTATATATCTCCATATATTATCTATTACTCAAGTCTGTGGACAGCAACTGTTTCGCTCTGTTAGAGCTCATCAGCACAGCTCAGAGGACCGAAGCGCAGCTCTTCGCAATGAACTACGTTTCCGTAAAGCAAAGCATTTTTATAAACAGCTGCAAACCCCGCCAAGAGTGCTCGAAATGGTCCAAGAGCAGTGAGCGTTGCACAAGGCGAGCGGCAAGGGTTCGCGCTAAGGTAAGAGTGCTCAACCTGACGACATTGCTGACGCTAGGGAGATATTATCTATTATATATATATATATATCTCCATATACACCACTAAGGGAAATTAGCGTAGTTGTCGGCGAGGAACAAGCCATTAGGAGGCCACACACGGTGAATATGGAGAGGTATAGATATCAGTTGTAGAACGTCAGTACCGTCGGTCAGTGTCGTGCAATGTTATCGCATGAGCTGATTGTTTAGGAACTGGTGGTGTTAATGGACATTATAGCGTAACTTTTAGTTCCAGGACCCATTTTTCTTTTGTATGAAAAAATTAAGAAAAAACAAAGTGCCCAATACGTCCATAATGTTCATGCGCACATACAGTGCTGTCAACTGAAATCCTACCCCTGAACGATGCGTTCACATTCTAGCGGTCTCTATTCCATAGTTTTACTATCCTGTGTTGGGTCTTTGCAATGTGTGCGCACCGCTCAGGGGTCGGATTTCAGTTGTCAGCACTGTACATGAGCGTGTACAAGAAGACCGCGTGTGTCAAGAAGACCGCGTGTGTCAAACACAATACTGTAACTACTTTGAAGCGTCATTCGAGCCGTTTTATCAGATCATAATAGGGCTGGCTGTGGCATGCAGCTACTGTACATTGCAGAATACTCTGCCTGATCTAAGAAGATCTCAGACCGATCAACACAAAAATGATGTACATGCACAGAAATGAGGCAGAATACACGGCCGCATTTGTGCGTTATATAATTCTGGGTTTCAGAATCATCTGAATGTCCAGAGAAAGGATCCGATCCCGGCCAACACTGAACGTCAGCACAAGTCACCGACCCGGACCAGACCTGAAAGACTGTGTCACCCCAGAAGACTATGTGTTGTTGCAGCCAAGTGTGTACGAGGCAGACTCATCATAACACTGGCTTATACTGCTGGATTAGCGATTCAGAATTTGTTTCATGTTGCCAAGAAAGGTCGACCTGCAGAAAATAATTAGGTCACAGAAAATACACAATCCCAATGACCAGTAAAGGGGCACTCCGGCTTCATTTTCGACGCCGAGTTTTCGATGGCAAGACGAAGGTAGGTGAAAGAGAAGACCCCTCGAACAAGAACGAGTCTCCAGAAGCGATCGAGTCGAGCGGGAAGACGACTTTTGAATTTCGCCGAGCGAGCGCTGATGACGTAATGAGGGATCAGTGCTCATGTGACGCTAACAAGCTCCCCGTTGTTACTTTCAGCAACTTCCCCATGTCTAACCCTCAAGACAAAGTGAATACTGTAGTAGTCATACTGGGCAAAGCTGAAAATTAAAAAAATTCGCGACCTGCAGGAGCTAAAAATTTAGTCTAGCCGCTGCTCATTCCAATATTCTGAATCAGTATGCATCAGCTGTAGTCATTATGTTCTTCGACTAAGTGCCATATTCAATATTATTATATGCCCGAATGAAACCTTGTGGTTTGTGATGTATGACGTCACGCTGTCCGCCATCCGCCGGACCATTGGAAATCTGCTTCCTACGCCCCTGAAGAAGCAAACGATCTTTGGAGGAGAGTAGAGGACATGGGCGAAACCGGATCTACATGTAGAAAGGGCATGGCTGTAGGCATGACCTCATGCTCAGTTATGGTCAGTGAGGTATAGTACAATACGTGGGTATTAGTATCACGTAAGATACATACAAGCACGATGATCTAACCTAGCAAAGATGTAGTATGCAATCCAGCAAGTGCAAGGGAACACAACTAAAACCATGTTACTTCTTCGCAAGTGGTGAGAAGTGATGAGATCAGCTGTGGAGGCTTGTCAGCAAAGGAGTGACAAGAGTCATGCAGTGCGTAGTCGCTACAGTTCAGTACTAGCAAGGCAGGGATACTACAAGTGAACCTAGCTTGGAGTTGGGACACAGCTTCCAATCTCTCTTGTATACATGTACATGTGCAATGTACATCACTGAACTCTAATGAACAGCACTCAATCTTCAATCACGTCCCGGTACCTCTCTGGATGGGCATTCCAAGCTGTTCGTATTCATCCTCGTCTTCACTGAGTTCTGCAGTTAACTGAAGCTCCATGGGTTGCCCATTCTCACACTCCTGGCCCGAGTGAGAGCACTTGCAAGCATCCGCGCAATTGAAGTGCTGTCTCCGGCGGGAGCAATATCCGTGCTTGCAGCCTGTCGTGCACCCGCACGAAACAAATTCCATCAGTAGGCTCGATGGTGCTGGTGCCAAGCTGAGCCAGTCTACTTCCACAACATCACCAGAACCAATGGTCCAGCCTTGATCAGGGCTATGTGGTGGGGTCATATCAGCGGAAGCTTCCAGAGCACGGCGCCAGATGCTGGCCTGGTAATTTGCTCTTGCAGCGTGCTTGCACAGCGCATCTTGGCAAAGAGGAAGGGAGCTGGACTGTGTTGAGCGAGAGCAGCACATCTGGTATCACACTTCGTTGATGGATGTGGCGGTGTTGAAGCCGTACATGCCGCAAGTGAACTGCTCGACGGAGGCGAAAATGTCAGCTGGTAATGCCTCAAAAGATGCACCGAGTGCTGCCATAGCCTTTCTAGCCAGCTCGCCTTGTGGGTTTTGCTTGGTGATCAGCTGAAATGCTGGCTTCTTCCCTCTGCCACTGAAGGCACTGGTTGTGTCACAACCTGTATAGGCATGCATCCTCACCATGGCTTCTCAAACAGGGGCGCTAAGCTGTTGTTGGGCCACAGCGGTGACGTCCAAGAGACGGGTATTTCGGCCAGTGCCGGTCAGGAACATGGAGGGGAGCATTTATCAAGAAGCTGACTGAGTGACATGCCAGCACGGTGACGTTAGTGTCTGGCGGCTTGATAGTGATAGTGGATATGCCATGCCTTGGCGGCATGGCCAGCATGCAGCAAGAGTCTTGTATCAGCCTCTTCCTGCCGAGAACAGAGTGCTGGGCAGCAACCGGTGGGTGGCAGAAATAGAGCCATTCTGCAAGATGAGATGCTTGCACTCCTCCCCACTGGTGACGAACATATATCCACTGGTGGCACTGGTGAGTTTGCCGGAGCACCATTCCTGATACTCGTACCGGAATACACTACTCATTCACCCGCCTTCTTTTTCTCAGGTTTTGCACACAGACATTGTCAAAGCTGCAATAGCCTACATAGCATGTTTTGAAGGAACTGAAAGCAAGAACCAAACTGGACATGAAAAGAAGGAAGGGCAAGATGCCACAAAAAGCTCATAAACAAACTACCCTACACAGGACTGTGTTACCGGGCCCATGGGTGGGTGCAATGCTGCAGTGAATGTGCAGTGTTACCAGATCACGACCTGACATGACAGCTAACACTGTGTACTTTCGTGTCTGGTGTATTCTGGTTCAAGCATCACGATTCACTGTACCCAATCCCTGGCCACTGCACAGCGTGCGTGCGGGCACTGTACTGCGCAACACATCGGCTACGCAAGATGCATGACTGTACAGTGCAGCACTTACCGTACGTGAATGCAACTCTAGTACTACACGCATGCATGAACAAGTGCATGCAAAAACTTAGTAGGCGAGAGGGACAAATTTCAACATGGAAAAGCCTCTCGTTGGATACCTTTCAGAAAGTTGTCAAAGTGACAACAACCGGATCCTGGTCAGTAAGGTGTCTAGAGTAGATGTGGCCAATAAAATTGCGATTCCCAAAAGATTTTTCTAGGAGGCCTTTTTTTCAGTTTGGCCCACAGACTAAGAGGGTGAACGGGTAACTCTAACCTTACACAAGGACATACCAAGAGTACCATGATGCCAGGTTCCAGGGAGTTGCGCAGTAGAAGATCATTAGGGGGCAAATCTGGAGAGTGCAAAACTCGTGTTTGCGCCTATTTCACTCCGCTAAGCTGTGGAAAAAACACAAAATTCTTGCTTTCTGACAGGTCAGTGGAATCAAGAACACCTAGCTTGTTTTCGAATTAATTCCCAGCGTGTGGTTCAACACTGTGTTGTCCTGTTTACAGGTGAAGGTTGGCAAGGCACATTGGTGCACGTGCGGGATGTACATGACCAATCAGGAGATATGCGGCCATATAATCTGGTGAGAGATTCAATCGGAGCTGGTTGTGATTTGCTGGGAGTATCACTCCCCCGGCTCAGCTCCATGTTGTTGGTGTATAACTGGTTGCGGCCTGCGTCCAGGGAACGGAAAACCGTCATCCTCTTGTGTTCGTTGGAGGGATGGGAGGAGAGGCTGGTGTGCTTTGGTGCGGCCGAAGAGAGTTGGAAAGCTTGTGTCTCCACATAAACTGAATTAGTTTTTTTCATGGTTCTCATTAATTGTGTTTGGTTAAACTAATCACTGGGGATGCTCTGTTTGTCCGCCAAAGAGTCTTTTCAAAGAAGGGAAAAAGCAAGGGGGGGGGGTGAAGTGTGATGGTTTGATGGTACTGGACCTTCACCCTGTTTTGTTTGAGCATTGTATCACACCACTGCCTGGATGTTCTTCTTGGCTGGTGCAGGACGCTACATGAATATTACAAGTTGGATCCAAGAGATCGCCGTAAGTTATCCTGTGTGTAGTTATCTGTCTACGCAGTAAGTTATCCTGTGTGTAGTTAATCTGTCTACGCATTTGTCACAGTCACCAGTCACCTGTGCACTGCGACAACACTGTGACACAGCAGGTCTGCAATGTGAACACATATTGCATAGGCCAACCTCACTGTGACACAGCAGGTCTGCAATGTGAACATGGCGTATTGCATAGGCCGACCTCACTGTGACACAGCAGGTCTGCAATGTGAACATGGCGTATTGCATAGGCCAACCTCACTGTGACACAGCAGGTCTGCAATGTGAACATGGCGTATTGCACAGGCCAACCTCAGCAACTTGACATAGCCCTGGTGTCACCCAATGTTTACAGTAAAACCTGTCAAGGCGATTACTGAAAGGCGACCACCTGGCCCAGATGAACACTGCAGCCAGGACCAAGGAATGCTATTTCCAGTCAAATGGCACTGGATAAGGAGACCACCTGGTTACAGAGACCACACTTTGAAGGTCCCTTGAGCAGTTGTCTTAGACAGATTTCACTGTAATTATCATTTGGGTGGCTTCCTCGGCGACGGGCTGCTTGTGTGGCGTTCCAGGATTGTAATTTATGTATACCGTAAAGTACCGCCAGAGCGCCCCGTCTCGCGAGAGCGCCCCACCTTGATTTTACAGCCAGAGAAAGGAAAATCGTATGGCAGAGTGCAACGAAGTGTGTACAATGTGAGAATCTTAGTGTACTAAGGTCACACTTGGCAGGTTTTGTGTAGAGCTTGTGTACATGTGTCCGCTCGAAGGTACGGATTGACTGCAAAACGTGCAATATGTGTACAAGGTTCATGTCGTATGACCTGCAGACAGCAGACCACCTGCACCTCCACAATACGACCACGAAAGGATGAGATGGTGGGGCGCTCTGGCGGTACTTTACGGTACTAGTCCTCACATCAAGTAGTTAGTTGTAGTTTTACCTAAGTTTACGGTTTCATACAGATCACCTCTCACAGGTTCAAACCCCAGACTCAGCAACTCATTCCTTTTTCCTTTCACTGTAGACTCTGATGATGTCATGGCACCCATCTTGGATTCTTTATGCCATGTGCAGGCTTTCTGTTCTTTTTTGTTGTTCTTTGTTTTCACTTCACTCGAGTGTGGTTTTGGTTTGAGACTGAATCATGGTCCTAGAAACTATTGGCAGTGCTGTTCTAGTTGTGGTTAGGAAACTATCTAACTTGTACATTGGGAGAATGTTACACTTGTGGGAATTTCCAGATTGCTCACTGATAGTGACTGTTTCCACGTTCTGGGAATTTTCAAGATCGCGCAGCGCAATCTGATGATTCCCAACAGGGTACAGGGTTGTGCAGTCTGGGAATTTCCAGATAGACAAGGAGGATTTCCAAAGCGCGAGATGGCACAGGGCGAGGTTTTCAATTCCTGAGGATTTTGTATGCATAGTGTTCTATGTTACATGGTGGAGTTGCATGTTCATTGTTGGCGTTATGTGGCTGGCTGTATGTATGTATTTTGGCTGTGAGCCTTTCCTACAAAGAGAGAAGATCTAATTTAGGTCTCTAGTGAGTTTGCATACTGAAACATAAGTGTTAAGAATAAGTCGCACCCGTGATGAGTGCCCACACAGTGCCGGGTTGTCATCTGGGAGTATCCTCACAGTGAAAGCTACCCAGTACCCCTTGGCCCAACTTGAAAACTAGCAAGCTGTCAAACACTGCTACCTTGCCGCCTGCATATCCTGGGGCATAGCTGCAGACCCAATGACCGCCTGGCACATGGTGGATGTGGACACACTCTCCAACTGCAGGTCGGACTTGGCCAGCCTTCATTGCTGAAAGAGAATCCAGGCCCTGGGTGGAGGGTCTTTCAGCAGCAAGTAGCTGGCAAGCTTTCCCCACGGTGACATCTGTCAGGTCTGCCAGGTCTTCATCTGCCAGCATACTGCCTAGGCTTGGCTCCAAAGCATCAGTGGAAGTCCTCATACAGTGGAAGTCCTCATACAGTGCTCGCTCCAGGATTTCAAACCAACTGGGTCCACGTGTACCTGGCACAACTCTTGCAACTGGGTCGGAGCTGAGTAGTGTGGCTACTGCTGGCCCATACTATTGCGCCATAGCCTGTCACAGTGCCAGGGTGGACTGATGCTGGCCCTTGGGAGCATGGTTTGCAAACATCACGGCTAGTCGGCACATGTTTTTGACCAAATCCTGCAGAACGTTACATAAGTGAGCGAGCCACCAGCTTTTAAGAACTCACTGTGCACGAGTTTTTTTTAGCTGTGTGGCATGGCAAGTAGATTGGCGCTGCTCCATTATGGTCTGGGGGCTGCAGGCTGTGGCAATCCATTTACATCTGCATAATTCTGAATAGATGCAGTGGCAGTTTCCTTCTGCTCCTGGGTCAGTGCATTCCATGGTTGCCTCCCCCCCCCCCCCCCCTGCCAAGCCATGTTCAAGTGGCACTACACAGCCACACTCCACATGTGACTGCACTTGGTCACTTGGCCAGCGTGAGAAACATCGCCACGTCTCATCAGGGCATCTAGCTTCCCAGCTAGGAAGGTCTCGCGCATGTCTGTGTCTAGCTCCTCTGTCACTCGACGCTGTTCAAGCAGCTGCTCGGGTGGCAACTGCGCGTAACAGTTCTTGTCGCCAGCACACTAACAGCCTGACTCCAACTTCTCCAGGACTTCCTCCAACGTTGTAGGCTCAGTTGCACCCCGCTTGCGCTTCTTACCCGCTGAGCGTCTCCGGGCGAAGCAGTTTGAGCTTGAACTCTTTGTTAAGTGGGATGAATTTTCTTTCCTTTTCGAAAGAAATGATTTCCACCCGAAGGTCGATTCTCGCTGATACTGGGCCAAACAGTAATTGCTTTCCACTGGTTGCCTTCAAAGTGGGCACACAGACTATTGTTCTGCATGAGGTGGCGTGTTTAACAATGCCATGACAAGTGCTGTGAGATGCCAACAGTCATTATACCGGTACTTACTAGTCCTGGAATGTTAGAACTTTCTTTTGTTTAGTTTAGAGTTAGGGCTCTTGAGCCGATTAGAACATTCCTTGCAACCCTAAATGCTACAGTACATGTTGAGTATTTGTAAATGTGTGAAATTATCTCCCCTGATTCTAATTATGGAAGAAAAGGAGAAGGACAAAAATGTTACGAGTTATGACAAACTGTCCACCAACGTAACCATATCATATACAGTCAGCTTTTCTTCCATAATTAAAGTGGCTCACCATCTGAGTTCAACTGATTCCAATTCATGGCTATTTACAAATCATGATCATGACTTAGTTCGTACCCACCCCACACATATCTGCTTCTTACAAGGCATTCTTACGCTTGCTTTGCCGACAACGCCTCCATTGTTGTTACCTTGTCTTCTTCATCATCATTCTCTCTTGTGTCTCTCAGGGATCTGGCAATATGGATTGTCACGAAGTGAACTGGCAGCTTTAGAGAGAGCAAGGGACCGACATTCAGCTGCGCCTCACAGGCAACGAGAAATGATGCCCAGGAAACGCCAGCCCCTGAAAAAGGGCGACTCGTGTCCGATTTGCTGTGACACGGTGGAGCCCAGCCGTGCCTATGAGATCACTTTCTGCAGGTACAGTCCTGGAGTGCACTCCGAGCAAATATAAATGGTGCCTAAACCCTTTAAAATGAAGAGTCGGTGGGAATATAACATTACATGCAAAGTGGGACCTTGTTTATCCGGTCCTCTTTTATCCGCATCCCTCGCCATCCGGAAGATAATCGTTGGTTACCGATTTACACTTATGAATACGTACATACAGCATGTGTGTTCGATTATTCGGTTCCCTCACCTCAGTATCCGGATATTTTTGTGGCAAACGGATGTGTGCGGTCAACCGAGGTCTGACTGTATTGTGAAACTCGCAATGTATAGCATCTTGGCCCCAGTGCAAAGATGAAGCAACATTCGTACCCACTTCAGTCAAGCAGCCTGTGACCCAAGGAGTCATTGAAAAGCAAAAAAATAGAACTGCCAGGCAAGTTCATATCCCTACTAGCATCATGCTAGGTGCATTGGTCTCCTCACCGATGACGTCCGCTAGGATCCTGCTCACACTGTTGCACAGTTTCACCGAGTAGTCCGAGTACAGGTATAATGACCATGCATATAATCATACTGGAGGGTGGCTAGTGTGGAACAGCACAGTAAGATGGATTATGGCACAATGGTGACACCAGGCAACACCGCCGTCTTTGTGATTGGCTGCTAGATAGTCACATTGTTAGCTTTCCGGCTGCAGAATTCACATTTCGACCACTGAGAGCTCAGTGACAGATTTCTCCATTCCTCCATACTAAACAGCTCCCTCCTCTTTTCCATGGCACTCAACACAGAAGTCACGGCTAAAGAGAAGCAACACACAGTTTAGGGCATGCTTCTGAGATTCAACTCAGAAGCATGCCCAGTTCATGGCCCGCTGTTTCTCTTCCCCCACTGGCCCTGGGTAGCTGTTTGAGCGTAAGCCACAATTCGAGCATGACTCGAAAAGGATGAACCCAGGCTAAGAAGAATTTTAAATGACATCTTAATAAAGATATCATTTTTGACAGGAAGCATGCTTTTTTCGTGATTTGGGATGAGATGAACATCGGACAAAACATTGCCTCCAATCCCAAGGGGGTCGTGTTATCCAAGGCTGACTGTACATGAATTGCCTAAAAATAGGGAAACTGCTGAAGTTGGTGAAATGTGAACGACTCTATTGTCTCCCAGGCGCTGTGGCACGAACATGCACGTGTGGTGTATAGACCGCTATCGCTTGGCTTGCCGACGGCGTTTTGATCTGGATGAAGATGCGACGATGAACTGTCTGAATTGCCCCCTGTGCCGGCAGACCTTTTCCACCCATCAGGCAAGTTATGCACGGTCTGCACCTCATGTCATGATCCTTGTATTTGAAGTGTGACTTATTGTATGGCCAAAGTCAACACTACTGATTATATCCTCGTGGCACACTGCCTCCAAGACCTAGGAAACGACATGGGAAGTACACACACTGTTTAGCGACAATGTCGTGCACCATTCACTGTGTATTGCACACACACACACACACACACACACACACACACACACACACACACACACACACACACACACACACACACACACACACACACACACCTCAGACCTGCCCATCGCACGGTTGTCACGAAGCGGCAACTTACAAAGATGGCGTCGGTTCGAGATGGCATGGTAACCGCGCACGTGCCGTGGTCCGTGACTTGCTCATGTATGCACGCAAATTATTATTATTATTATACGCATTCCCGCGTTGAAGTGTAGCAGCAGTATGCTGCGTCCACAGCTTCGCTTATGCAGAATGTCTTGGGTGAGAGGAGAGGGGAGAGAAAACAACAAGGCAACCAACATCTATGAAATAGGTCACAATAACATGAACATGAAGAGAACCAACCTACATATGCATGATTGCACAAGAATGGAGACGACACATGGCAATAATCATTGTGCCACAAAACCGGTACACAGGAGATCTGTCGACAATGTAACGAAACATAAAACTCAGTTACTCAATACAGGTTCCACTAAATTACAAGAGAACAACACTACAACATTAGAATTGCCGCTAAATTATCGCAAGTGTAGAGAACGAGTCCAATACAAATGAAAACCATGAACAGACTGTTCGCAAATGCAAGTCACAAACTCACAAAGATCGTCTTTGCATTTGGAGAAAATATCTTCGTCTCTCTTTGGAGGTTGGCGAGGTTTGCCTAATCTTTACTTGATTGCGATGCCGGTATGTCCTCTCAATAATTAGAACAAAGAGAGCTGATGATCGCTTCAGGTATTTACAGTACCGTTTCTATGGTTGTAGCCAATGAGCGACGTTCCCGTGGTGGCCTTGATGAGCCGATAAAGCCTGTGGTCAATGGATACGGAAAATACGGTAGCAATAAAGCCCGTCGTCAATGGCACCCCGTACTCTGTCAGCCTAGCTCTGCAGGGGTCTGGGGCAGTTTTTCGTTGTCAGCTCAGTTCACATCTCACATTCGACTGTGAACATGCTCTGGTACCTGGAAACAGCCTGTCCAAAAACGGCAACATGAAAAGTGTCTACACATCGTGGTCAGTTTTCAACTCAAGTTCTTGTTGTCGTGAGTGGAGATGAAATTTTACGATAGTTGTGAATAAGCGAAAGAGCATGCACCTATCTATCTGCTAAGAAACAAGCTGAAATAAGTGGCAAGCATCGCGATCAGTTTTCCACTTTCTGTTCTACATGTGTGTTATGTACCAACCATTGATCAAACATCATCAAGTCATTATTGTTATTGGAAAAAGCCTTGGAAGAAGACCAGACTAAAATAGGAACAAGAAGCTCGTGTGCGCATGCGCAATACATAGTTAACCCCTGCACCCGTCAACATGCAAGCACCTCCAAGTGCACCCGCACGCCCAGCTTGGGCACTCGTGCACTCATGCAGCCAGACACAAGCGCACACATGCACGCACACGCCACTGGTGTACCCATGCTCTGACACGCAGACACCCGCACAACGTACCGCTCACTATGGCGTGCACAAACATACAATAGACACATTGGGTTGGGGGTTGCCATGATTTCTTTTGGACAATTCAAATATTCAAGAATATGCTCTTTGATAATAATTGATTGAGTAAAGATGCATGCCTGAAACTAGCATCCGCCCGCCAAGGGCGCCCAAATGGCCACCGCGGCCCGCCGCGGGCTAAACTAGCATACTGCCCACCGAGGGCGCGCAAATGGCCGCCGAGGCCAGCAAACCGCCCGCCGAGGGCTAAACTAGCATACTGCCCACCGAGGGCGCACACATGGCCGCCGAGGCCAGCAAACCGCCCGCCGAGGGGTAAACTAGTATACTGCCCACCGAGGGCGCTCAAATGGCCGCCGCGGCCAGCAAACCGCCCGTCGAGGGCTAAACCAGCAGACAACCCATCGAGGGTGCGCAAATTGCCACCGAGGCAAGCAAACTGCCCACCGTGGGCCGATATCATCTTGCCCGCCGAGGGCACACAAAGGGCCACCGAGGCCAGCCAATCGCCCACCGAGGGCTCACACGACTGCCTGGCATCAGGCGTCACAACATACAGACATAATAGGAGGCCCGTTTGCCCCCCCCCCCCCAACCGGAGAAACAAAATGCCCCTTCAAAAGGGGTGGGAGGGAGGGAAAAAACTTTGACTTGACACAGAAACTGCAACTGCAAAGAATGCTCCTTCGCACAAAGACAGCTCCGCAAAACACGTCTCCAAATAATTAGACGCCGGATCCACGATTGTCCATAAAATTTTGCCAGGCCATACACGGCGCACACGGCTTAATCACGAGGTGGTCACATGACACGCACTCGCAGCACTCCACCGCCAGCATGCGTGTGCATGGGCTAACTAGGCTTTGCTGCGCAAAGCCCACATATAGTGAAGTAGTGCAGAGTAGTAACATTAGTACTACAGAGAGAGACACCACAATGTACTAAAAAAGGAGTTGACGAGTTGCTGAACCTTTCTGATAATTTTGAGGAAGCGAAAGATCATGGACCAAGGATCATCCCATCCATGAGAAGCGGACAGAGCTGAAACTCACAAGCTGAATCCACCACGTCCCCGACCACCACCCCTATACGTGTCTTGCTTTTATACGAGTACCAGAAAGGCGAAAGACAAAACCTGAAACACCATCATAGAGGTCTGGCAGGACTTTTCGCCTTCATCAAGGCCTCGTGCGTACGGCCGCAGGCGCACTTGGCCTTGATTCAGCCGTAAAGTCCTGCCAGACCTCTATGATTGTCTACTTCATTGCTGAGCAGAAGTAACAATGAACTCTCCTCATGTCCTCAGTGCCAAAGGCAGACGACTGCAGTTCCACAACGCTCATTTCACGATGATGGAAACAATAATCGTGTACTAGTAGTGACACTTGGACCATTTGGTCATCCCTATTCTAGCCGCTAGTCCGTCCAGCAAGCAGATATTGACTATTGCGATAAGGATAACTGCGTGAACGAGGGCTCGCCCAGCAAATACAATTCAAGTCGTGACTCCAGTCAAGAATTAGGGTCTTTACTCGAGAAGCGTTCACGAATACAGGCCAAGACACCCCACAAACTGATAGATGGCACGAACGAAAGACAAATAGGCTAGACAAAGTGTCCCAAGTGATTGAAAACAGCAGATCTACCAAATAAGACAGCTACATGTGCCTAAACAACGATTCCCATACAGTAGAGAGTTGTATCAGGCAGAATGAAAACCTTGGAAGTGCACAAATACAGCCACGACCGCCACAAAAAAATTCTCATTGCTCTACCTCCTTGAAGGGTGAACGTTTCCAGTTATCCTATAGCGATGTCAGTTTATGCCTGTTGGAACCCCCCCCCCCCACAGCAACAAAGAAATACCTTTCAAATAATTCCAGGATGCAATTGCAGCTCCAGACAGGAGGAAGAAGAACACTGTGAAAATAACGGCAACGATGCCCAAACTCTCGGGAAACGGCTGAAGTCTTCCTGAAGATGTTAACATTGAATATCCATCGATTACCAGCGTGGTTTGGTGACTTTAGAACTGTTTTGAGACTTAGAACGAAGCGATATCTCAAATTTGATTGAATTGTTACCTGTCAAATGCGTGGGCGAGCAGGCCAGCTGACTGGTTATGCAGGAGCATGCATTGATTTTTCATGGTTCACGTGCAGAAAACTAAGTTGCCACGATCCAAGTGCAGCTAACAGCCGTGATCGCAGAAGCGATGACAGCTATGTTAGACATAGCAACTTGTGCTGGGATTACACCATTCAACAGCTTGCAAGGCTGATGAATTGACCGCCACTAATTTTAGCCTGGCACACACACACACACACACACACACACACACACACACACACACACACACACACACACACACACACACACACACACACACACTACTACTACTACTACTACTATGTACAGCTACCCTATCGGGCCACGCCGCTCCCAGAAGCGGGAGACAACGACAAGAAGAGAGAAGAGAAGAGAGAGAAATCGCAAAGTCAACAATATTTGGCATGGCGTTGCAAGTCCTGTGGCCTTGAGAACCGTCTTTCGCAATGCTCGCATTCATGACGGCAGTTGTTCCTGGCTGCACGTGACATCCGTTTCGCACGGTCACAGTGATGACGGCTCAAACCAGAACGGGAGCGGAAAGAGCGGCGACAAACATCACATCGAAAAGAGTCAGATTCATGGCGAATAGATACAGTGGGGACATCCGTGGACACAGGACAGCGATGCACAGCCAGTCCTCCAGCGCTCCTCAACCACCGCATGCACTTCATACATTGCCTGGCACCCTTCTGTTGTGACACAGGCAACTTCCGCTGGGCAATGCACTTGTGTCGGGCCATGTCGTTACGGCGGCGGAAGTCTCTGGCACACAGCAAGCAGCGCAAAGGTGGCGAATCATCTGTGTGCGGTGGTGGCTCAGCAAGGAACATCCTCCAGTTCTGCCGGTCTTGGGCATACACACACACGCACGCGCGCGCACACACACACACACACACACACACACTTGTACTTGTACTTGCTCACTGCCAAAACTGGTCACGTGGGTCTCCCCAGGAGAGGGGAGAGAGACTCAAAAGGAATCTTGGAAAGATGACTCAATTCGCCATTGAACCACCCAACGGCCGACACCCCCTGAAATCCCCAAACTAGGGTGGACTTGAAATGATCCCACTTATGGGCTCACCACACCTCAGTAAGTGGGTGAGGACAAGGTGCAGAAAAAGGATTGACGACATGAGGGTATCCGTCTCGGGATCCAACTGCAGGTACCCCTGCCCCCAGTGAAGGTAATACTTGGTACTAGTGTGGGTGGATAAATCAGAGTGGATCTGATATAAGCTTCACTAGCACCATTGATTACACAAGAGTTAATCTAGCCAGAAGCAGTCCATGGTTAAAGGGGAAGAAGCTAAGGCAAAAATTAAAATTTCACCAGTTGTAGTCTTCAGGGTGCTGAGTCGAATGGTCTTGGTCCGAGAAAGCTGAGACGCTCCCTTCCTACTTGAATCCCAATCGAACTCGCGCACTTCCACCGAAACTGGGTGACTGCGCCCAACTAGATGGGGATTTGTATGCAAAATGTCACTAAAAGCGCCATTTCGTTCCTATTAAAGCACGGATGACCGCGATTGGCCCATATGTTGTAGTCTTTTGGAGGCTGAGTCGACTGGTTTTGGTCCGAAAAGGCTGCGATGCAGCGTTCCTTCTTTATTCCCAATCGAACATGGTTGAACAAGTGGTCACGTGCTCCTGGGTGCCCAGATCACCTGGTCACCACGCCAGCAGGCGACAACTTTCACACCAAGGTTCAACTCGAGTTCAGCTCGAGTGACAGGACTGCACCCAAAAAAGGTCAAACAGGCTAGTAAGTTGTACCCTGCAGGCACGGTGACCAGGTGACTGGTGTACACAGGAGCACGTGACCGCTTGTTCAACCATGTTCGATTGGGAATAAAGGAGGAACGCTGCATCGCAGCCTTTTCGGACCAAAACCAGTCGACTCAGCCTCCAAAAGACTACAACATATGGGCCAATCGCGGTCATCCGTGCTTTAATAAGAACGAAATGGCGCTTTTAGTGACATTTTGCATACAAATCCCCATCTAGTAGGGCGCAGTCACCCAGTTTCGGTGGAAGTGCGCGAGTTCGATTGGGATTCAAGTAGGAAGGGAGCGTCTCAGCTTTCTCGGACCAAGACCATTCGACTCAGCACCCCGAAGACTATAACTGGTGAAATTTTAATTTTTGCCTTAACTTCCCCTTTAACAGGTATGTATACTTCAAATAGAAAGTATATGAACCCTGAAACCAACAAAGGTGGTAGGTACAACAATACACCTTCAAGCAGCCGAGCCCGTTGGCAACAGGCCCAACACTGTCTGGCATAAGTGTACCCACCAACCGAACTAGCTGGCACACACACAGTCATACACACACACGTACATGCACACACACACGCGCGCACGCGTGTGCACGCATGCACACGCGCGCACGCACACACACACACACATACACACACACGTACATGCACGCACACACACACACCTTGAACATTGAACCTTGAACTTGCCCGTTGCCGTAGGCAATGAAAGCGAAAGGACAAATTTGGTCGCAACCGGCAGAAAGATTTGTGGCGCTTGAGGTCGGGCGACGACAGGTCTTCCCGCATGCACAGCGACATTCTGGCGCAGCGGAGACATCACAGGGCTGAGGACAACGGTGGATAACCTCCCTCCATTCTGAGCGGTTCTTGGCAATGTCACTCTCTGGGACAGATGGACACACACCTTGAACCTTGACACACACACATACACACCTCAGACCTCAGACATGCCCATCGCGGGAGCGATGATAGCGAACAGCTATGTTAGACATAGCAACTTGTGCTGGGATTACACCATTCAACATACACACACACACACACACACACACACACACACACACACACACACACACACACACACACATACACGCACACATACACACACACACCGTGTGCACACACGCATGTTTGATAATACGGTGCCTGGTTGGCAGCTGCAGTCCCAGACTTCTGTGATCTATCCTGTAAAAAGCACGGTGACAAATTTGGCTGTTTCCAATCTTGTATGTTGCATCTTACGCACTAATGACTGTATATATAGTGGTGGCCAAGAGCTGCTTGCAGTGCATCTCTTCTTCTCGATTTAACGTTTTGTTGGTGTTGCTACATGCTTGCAGGAGTTGGACAAGGATGTACGCAGGACCATATGTGTCGAGCTGCGGAACCAGTATCATGCTGTGTTGAAGACAAATGCGCAGCGTCTGTACTTCAAGTGTGACCGGTGTGGCAGAAACACACCGCTGTGTCAGTATCGGTAAGTTGTTACTCAGGACATGTGAGATACAGGGTGACGTAATCAAGTAGCGTGCTCCTTGCTCCCCTTTATCTTCAGCCTGCCCGTTTTGGAGCAATCAGTTGCCTGATGATCGTAGTAGTATGTGAAACTCAGAGTTGCGACACAGCTTCCAGTCTCTCTCTTGTGATACAGAGTGATGAATACAGTGGCCGGGATGCTTTTTTCCCGCTCCGTTTACACACAATGCTGAGGGCAACTGGTATAGACACTTGCACGGTCTCAGCTGGAGTTGTGCCGGGTGGTTTCCTCGCTTGCTCCACACGGTGCTTGTTGCTCAAATGCAGGTGGTGGTGGTAGTCGTCAGGCGAAATAGCACGTCATAGTACATTTGAGATCAGCGGGAAGAAGATGACGACGTCCACTAATTTAGTATCTGTGCACACGAACCTGCTGTGTGTGACTCTGTGTGTCAGCTATGATATCATCTTCTGTGGTTCCATGCCTAGCATGTACGTCTGAACCATCCTGCAAAGTTTGAATGACGTAGGTTGAGCGATCGCTCCGCGAAACATACTTTTTGAAATTCTCTTCATAGTATATCTTCCACCATTGAAATTTCGAATTTCTTGCTGAGAGGGGTGGCTTGCAACCTCGATATGGCTTGTTCCAGGCATGCTTTGGAGCCATCTTCTGTTGAAGTAGTGACGGGGATCTGCCCTGCAACTGCTACAACAAAAAATGATTCGATCTGAGAAAGGGTGAGACCGCGAATCTCGGTTGAATATTGAGTATTTCAAGCCTTTTCACGACGAAGATGGAGTTCTTTTTGGAGATGGACGTCGCGGCAAAGGACATGGTGTCCAACTTCTGGCGTCTGGTGAAGCCAGGGATCATTAAATTATTTTGTCCAGTCAGGTCGGCAGCCTAACCGTCGGTAAGCTTGTGTTTGGATCCCGTTCTGCTCGATGTGGTAGATCACAAACAATTTGATATCGCACAAATTGATCTCAGCATCGTGCATACGGTATTTTATATTCAGAAAATCCCAAAGTGTCTCTGTGTGGCCATCCTATGCCACGAGAAACTCCAATCAGGCTCCTATGTCCTCTGCCTTCATGATTGAATGTCCACTTCGTTTGAACAATGAACACAACAATCGAGGACGGCTTTGCAATGAAAAATACAGTTATACTGGAGCTGAAAAAAAGAAGAAAAAACGTGCCCAGGATGAGACTCGAGTACACGCATACTCTCCCAGCAGGTGAAACGCAAATTTTTGTGAAAAATGCGTGTCGCCGACTGACCAGTAATTTCGCCTGACGGGTGGTGCTGGTGCTGGTGCTGGTGCTGGTGCTGGTGCTGGTGCTGGTGCTGGTGGTGGTGCGTGGTGGTGGTAGTGGTGGTGCTGGTGGTGCTGGTAGTGGTGGTGTGTGCGTGGTGCTGGTGGTGGGTGGTGGTGGGTGCTGGTGGTAGTGGTGGTGGTGCTGGTGGTGGGTGGTGGTGGTAGTGGTGGTGGTGGTAGTGGTGGTGTGTGCGTGGTGCATGGTGCATGGTGCTGGTGGTGGGTGGTGGTGGTGGGTGGTGGGTGGTGTGTGCGTGGTGCATGGTGTGTGCGTGGTGCATGGTGCATGGTGCTGGTGGTGGGTGGTGTGTGGTGGGTGGTGTGTGCATGGTGCATGGTGCATGGTGCTGGTGGTGGGTGGTGGGTGGTGGGTGGTGGGTGGTGGTGGTGGGTGGTGCTGGTGGGTGCTGGTGGTGGGTGGGTGCTGGTGGGTGCTGGTGGGTGCTGGTGGGTGCTGGTGGGTGGCACAGGATGGTGACATTCTTGCTAATCTTGTGTGCATGCTGTAGGTGCAAGCGCTGCAACGACTTGGTCCTCTCCAGCGCGTGCTACCCAAAGTGTGCTACCAATGAAGGAGACGACCTGGTTCGCAATGAGCAGGTACAAGTGAAAACCATCTCACCATCGTATTTGCAAACAGCTGGATGTCTGGGGTAGAGTATTTGTCTGGGGTAGAGTATTTGTCTGTGGTAGAGTATTTGTCTGGGGTAGAGTATTTGTCTGGGGTAGAGTATTTGTCTGTGGTAGAGTATTTGTCTGGGGTAGAGTATTTGTCTGTGGTAGAGTGTTAACCCTTTCACTGCCGCTGTCGACTCCAGTCGACAGCCCATTCATGCACTCTGAGTGCCGCTGTCGACTGCAGTCGACCAGCAAGAATGCAGTTCCCAGTGCCGCTGTCGACTGAAGTCGACAGGCCGACTTCGCCCAGTTTGGGCCACTATTTTGGGGTATTGGAGATGTTTAGCTGCCATAGAGGGTTACTGGGCCCTGGAAGAGGTCCATATCCATTGAAATACGCCGCCAGGAGTAGGGGTTGCCATTTGAAAAAAATCGAACCAGCGTCGTTGAAAATGTGTATCCGATTTTTAGCCGAGCGGCGCTGAAAAATCTGAGAGTATTTTTCTCTTTCCCGTCAACTTTCATTGCATGGAGCATGGAATTTGGTTCAGACTTGATGCCTAGCTATTACCCAAGACTCCAGGAGGCTATCCATTGCGACAGGCGGTTGGAGTCACGGGTAGAGAACCAAACGACGGATTCCTCACGAACGCATTTTAGATGCAGCTATGTACAAACTTGACGGAAACAGCGCTGGCGGCGCTCGCCGGGTCCAGAACTAAATTTTCCTGAGAACTAAAACGTTGCAATGGCGACCAGCACGGTCAAGGGACACTACAGGTATGTCAGCTACAAGTATAATAATAGTATTCTTTCCGCAACGACACCTACCTCAATACCTGATGATCTACTGCAAGCTAATGCGGAAGTGCATTACAGCTGCGAACGAAGCGCTTGTCAACGGAACAGGGAAGCGCTCCATTCTCCGACGTTGAAGAGATGTGCTTGGACTGCTGATAATTAGGAGAACAAAGGACCACCATGTCGGCAGAACAATCCGCGGCTGTTCAGCGACACGATCCGCTTCACGAAACGATTCGCGATCGTTCCCCAAGTTTTCTGCAAGCAACAAGAATTGCGTCCGCAGCGGCAGGACGAAAGTCTCTCGCAAACTGAAGTCCTGTTGCCACGAAGACAGGGAAGTTCCAGCAAGCACTTTCTTCTGCTTCAAGTGTTGTAGCTCTCCGGTCCACTGGCAGATCTTTCAATCCCACCGAACGAAAAACAGGATTTGCTTCTCTCTCCAAAACAACAACTGACTTTACTTCGCAACTGGCCGGGCCGCGGGCCGTACACATGGTGTACATGCACTGTATGTAGTGCATGCGGTGTGCGGCGCACTTTCGCATGACATGACATGACTTGTTGCACAGCGGCTGGCGCTAGAACGCTCAGCGCGCTTGTACTTCGGATTTTGCGATTTTTTCGAGGGCAATGGCTTCCTTTATCAGTTGGCTACCTGCGATGTATACTTTAGAAAGCGATATTCCGTACAGAAAGTACCAAAAAATCCAGGAAAAGTTGGCCTTTCGATTTTTTGAACTGGAGGTAAAAAGCGCCTGGCACTGGGGGGGGGGGGGGGGGGTGCACAGCTCAGCTGACAGCCTGGCACTGAGTGCCTTGTCACTTGAGCAGTCAGCTGGCAGTGAAAGGGTTAAGTTAATTTAAAGGGGAAGTATACCCTAAAATCAAATTTTCACTGGTTGTAGTCTTCGGGGTGCGGAGTCGAATGGTCTTGGTCCGAGGAAGCTGAGATGCTCCCTTCCTCCTTTATGCCCAATCGAACTCACGCACCTCCACCGAAACTGGATGACTGCACCCTACTAGATGGGGATTTGTATGCAAAATTTCACTAAAAGCGCCGTGTTGTTCTTATAAAAGCACGGATGACCGCGATTAGCCCATATGCCGTAGTCTTTTGGACACTGAGTCGACTGGTTTTGGTCCGAAAAGGCTGCGATCCAGCGTTCGGCCCTTATTCCCAATCGAACCCGGTTGAGTAAGCGGTTACGTGCTCGTGCGTACACCGCATTGCCCGCCGAGGGCTATATCATCCAGCCCTCCGTGGGCCAACCACATACTGCCCACCGAAGGTGCACGGATGGCCACCGCGGCCAGCCAACTCGCCCGCCGCGGGCTAAACTAGCACCCTGCACGCCGAGGGCTTAACTAGCAGACAGACCGCCAAGGGTGCGCAAATTCAGGGCTCACAGCCGGTATGCCAAAACCTCGATTACGTGGGAGGACATATTGGATCTGATCACCATAGAAACGGGCACGCGTGACTGCTAAGCGCAGGCGTAGCACTCACAGTCGCAAGGAGATTTTGACTTGCTTGGGCTGAGTTGCTGTGACAAGAACTGAGCCGTGGATGGTGAAGTAGACGGAGACAGTTATCCATTTGTTTCGGTTGTTATTGTTTCCTTCCGAGTGGACTATTTCGCGAGCATTGTTGGCCTCATCGGCCGAATTCTTCCTTCAGACTGTCCACACACGGAGTCCTGCGAGGAGTAGCCCCGAGCAGATTCCTGCATTCGTTGAACACGAAAGAGTTCAACATCTACTGCCCGGCAGCTACGCCGCTAATGCACAGGCGCGAGTGACGGGATCGGGAGAGGGAGAGGACATGCACTCCTTGATGTTGAAGGCATGGAGCAATGACTCACGTAGTGTTCTAGTTTTAGTTTCTCCGCCGTGAAGTCCTGTTGTGTCCAATGTAAATATACGCCTGGTCCGCTGCGAAGAGCCGCGCAACGCATTAGCGACGATGTGGAGTTGTGAATTATTTCATTCGCCACTCCGTTTCGTTGCAAGAGAACACGTCCAGTGGCTTCGCCGTTGTGCTGGCCATGTATTTCTTCAGTCGGCCATAACTGCTGAAGGACACAACGATGAAGCGCCAGGCGAGTAACAAAACATTTCGAAAATTTGCCTTGCTGTAGTGTTGTTTCCGCATTCACAACCGGTCCAGCGCGCGCGGTTCTTCCTCGCACCTGTACTGCAGTCTTGTGCAGATAGCGTCGCCTTCGAAATGTTCGTTTGTACCCGTCTCTTGCCCGATTTTGATGGCCAATAGCTTAAAATTTTCAGTAGGAAAATTAGAAGAATTTGTCCGAGAGACTTTTCAATTTTAGGACAATAATTCATGTCAGAATTACGCCTGCACCAACTGATACTTTGGCCCCGTATGTACGCCAAACCGTATCGATTAAAACAAAAAACTCTCGGACAAATCCTTACAATGGGTATTGAGAGTATGTTCCTAGAGTTTGAAAGGCCTGGGAGAAAGCATCAGTACAAATGAACATTTTGAATGCACCCCACTTTCAAGCTTCGTGAGATATTTGCCCGATCGCATGTACACGATTCTGGCATACTGCCTGGCTCGCGTGACAGCTCGCGTGACAGCGGCCTGTCCAAAATGGCGCCCACGCTTTTGTACGCGGCTGTGAGCCCTGAAATTGCCACCGAGGCCAGCAAACTGCCCACTGTGGGCCGATATACAAACTGCCCACTGTGAGCAAATATCATCTTGCCCGCCGAGGCCACACAAATGACCACTGAGGCAAGCAAATCGCCCGCCGAGGGCTCGCATAACTGCCTGGCATCAGGCGTCACACCATACAGACAGAATAGGCGGCCCGTTTGCCCCCCCCCCCCCACCGGAAAAACGAAATGCCATCGTAAAAGGGGTGCGAGGGAGGGAAATACTAAGTCTTGACACACAAACTGCAACCGCAAAGAGCACTCCTTCGCATCAAGACAGCTTAGCAAAACATGTCTCGAAATTAGACGCCTTATCTACGATTGTCTGTAAAAATTTGCCAGGCCACACGCTGAGCACCCGGCTTAGTCACGAGGAGGTCACATGATGCGTGCTCACAACCAATCCACCACCGGTATGCATGTGCAGCCTGGGCTAACTAGGCTTTGCTGTGCAGAGCCCACATTTAAAATTACCACCACCATCGCAAAGGTTTTGGGGAAAGTGAAAAAAGAAAATTCCTATTGAAATAACAGTGTAAGACGGTGCAGGGGCTGGTGCTGCTGGTAATTTTAAGAGGTGTGTACTGATATGCGTCAATGAGAAACACGTCTGTATCTTGCTGTTCATATGTCATTTTTGTCTTGCTCTCATTATGGGTGTATTTCCTACTCATCATGGTTGTAGTGCCTTTAAACATCAGCTACATTCACAGCCACATCGTGAAGTTTCCCATCTTCTGGCTTTGATAGTGCCATTATTGTCCTGTACACCTGTGCAGTTGGATGGTCGGAAGTGCTGGGTACGAGTACCAGCTTTGAACCTGCAGCGCCTCTTGATATAACAGAAAGGAGTGCGTGCAAGATGATCAGTGCTCGGGGACCATTGGAACCACTGCCCTCAGGAACCACTGCCCTCTGGAACCACTGCCCTCTGGAACCACTGCCCTCTGGAACCATTGCCCGTCAGGCGAAATTACTGGTCAGTCGGCGTCACGCATTTTTCACAAAAATTTGCGTTTCACCTGCTGGGAGAGTATGCGTGTACTCGAGTCTCATCCTGAGCACGTTTTTTTCTTTCTTTTTTCAGCTCCAGTATAGCTGTATTTTTCATTGCAAAGCCCTCCTCGATTGATGTGTTCGTTGTTCAAACGAAGTGGACATTCAATCATGAAGGCAGAGGACATATGAGCCTGATTGGAGTTTCTCGTGGCATAGGACGGCCACACAGAGACACTTTGGGATTTTCTGAATATAAAATACCGTACGCACGATGCTGAGATCAATTTGTGCGATATCAAATTGTTTGTGATCTACCACATCGAGCAGAACGGGATCCAAGCACAAGCTTACCGACGGTTAGGCTGCCGACCTGACTGGACAAATGATCCCTGGCTTCAACAGACGCCAGAAGTCGGACACCATGTCCTTTGCCGCGCCGTCCATCTCCAAAAAGAACTCCATCTTCGTCGTGAAAAGGCTTGAAATACTCAATATTCAACGGAGATTCGCGGTCTCACCCTTTCTCAGATCGAATCATTTTTTGTTGTAGCAGTTGCAGGGCAGATCCCTGCCACTACTTCAACAGAAGATGGCTCCAAAGCATGCCTGGAACAAGCCATATCGAGGTTGCAAGCCACCCCTCTCAGCACTTTTTTCGAAGAAATTCGAAATTTCAGTGGTGGAAGATATACTATGAAGAGAATTTCAAAAAGTATGTTTCGCGGATCGATCGCTCAACCTACGTCATTCAAACTTTGCAGGATGGTTCAGACGTACATGCTAGGCATGGAACCACAGAAGATGATATCATAGCTGACACACAGAGTCACACACACAGCAGATTCGTGTGCACAGATACTGAATTAGTGGACGTCGTCATCTTCTTCCCGCTGATCTCAAATGTACTATGACGTGCTATTTCGCCTGACGGTCTGGAACCAATGCCCTCTGGAACCGATGCCCTCCGGTTCCTCTCAACACTTGCAATCGTAAATAATCCCATTGTTTCCCACAATGTCAGAGTACACTCCAGCTCCAGGTGTGCGCAGAGTACTCAGCACTGATGACCATCCGACTGCACGGGTCTGCAGCACAGCATTGCTCAGTAGAATGGGCTTGTCCGATTCTCACTTCTCAAGATGACATTTGTCAAATAGTGAGGTTTTGTATTCCAAAATTCAGCAAAAGATTCGCTTGGGAGATAAGTCAAAAATGCATTCGAAGATTCTGCATGGTTCGGAGGAAGCCCACTTTGCCGAAAGTGAAGCATTTTCTTGTAGAAGAGCGTGCTATATTCAGAAGGTTTCTCAGCATCGTCAGCTACCTCTGACTGCTCCTCCCCATGGCCTGTCTACTCTTTGTCGCCTAGAGTGTCTTCACCATCATCTGTGGGCGGGAAAGAAAAGGTGATAGGCATAAGATTTGACTTGGCTATGGATTCGATTCGGTTCTTCTGAGGCAACTTGTGGTTCCGTTGTTGTACCCGATCCGTTCCGGGATCGGTTATCCCCATGCATTCCCGTACTGTGTACATATGTGGATCCTGGTTGTGCATCTTTATCTTTCCTTGTTCTATGTAAACGAGAGAGCTTGGAAGCTCAGGGCCCTACGCTATGCTTTTTTTGCCTAGCTCATCATGCATGTTGTTAGAACTGATGGAAATGTTGGTTTTTCCATTGATTGGCTATAGTGTTTTACGTTGACCATGACGGCTACAATGCCCAACCATACCACAACGAACTGATCGACTACATCATTGTATTGCAAAAAGTTTCCATCTGTTCGAATAACATGCATGATGAGCTAGGAAAAAAACCATAGCGTAGGGCCCTGAGCGAAAGAAATAACTTTCTCTTTGCATTCGAGGGTAATACGACACCGTCTACCACATTGATGACCTAGGCAAAAAAGCATAGGGATGCTATAAATTTTTCATTTCTCCTATTTTTTTCAAGACATAACCTAGGATTCGAACCCGCACTATCGCCCTGCATGCATTCCCCGATACACTTCGCATACATACTCATTCTTCCAAGTCGCTTCACGTTATGATCTTGCATTTGAAAGCTCTATTTGAATATTGTGGCCAGCTGTCTTTGATGGTACGGTACGGGACAGGTACGGGATAGCGCCAGGCATGCCGACAGCACAAACACACAAACACAGACGGAATTAAAGCTGTGTGGACCCTGGCTAGCGCCAACGTTACTGAAGTAACGTCTTTTGCATAGCTACGGGAATAAGCTATAGTTGTCTGGGACTTGTGGAGTGAAGTTGATCTATGGAGTGCAGGAACTAACTTGATGTTCACTCCGGAACATTACATGGTGTCAGAAGCGGGATTCGAACCCACACCTACAAAAGTAGGTGGGACAAATATGTTCCTCCGTGGGTCTCCGGGAAATGAGGAGGAAGCTTTGGCCCTTGAGTCTTTGGGTGAACAGGTTTGCTGGAATCAGCAAAAAAGGAACCGGGTACAGGACATTGCTGATGCTGGAGCTCACGAATAGAAAACAAAAGATGATCAACTTGCAAAACTAATTCGACTTTTGATGTTCGACAATGAACGTCGAACGCCGAACCAAATTTCGGAATGCAGAACCTCACTAATATCTCAAAGTTATGTCTGTTATATGTCTATTGACTACAGCCGGAGCCTGAACCACGAAACAATGCTATCGATATGGGTCGTTTTGACCATGAACTCTCGGCGGATGACTACCACAATATCGTGGATAGGGAGAGGTATGTGTCAAATTGTATTTTCAATTGGACTTCACAATGAGGAAAAAGCCAATGATAAGGTATTTGTTAAAGGGGAACTCCACGAAAAAATGAAAATTTGATAGCCTGTAGAGTTTCGGGCGCTGAGTCGAATGGTCTTGGTCCGAAGTCTCTACGAGAAAGCGTTCCAATGTATGTGTGACGTCATTGTGGCATGGTGCGAAAATACTTGGATTTTGAATCTCACTTTCTTCAGGACGAAAGTCACTTCAGAAAGTAGTTTGCCAAGTCGCCTGAGCCGCTGCAATGCCAAATTGTTGTGTTGTTGATTGTGCCAGTATCATATCATCCTCCTGGGGTTAGTTTTCTCAGATTCCCAAAGGATGGAGACCTGGCAAAGCGCCGAGATGTTGCAATGCGTCGTGAAAATTTCAAGCCTATTTTCGCAGCACGAGCTATGTTTGCTCGCTGCATTTATGATCCAGAGGGACTTGAGAGCTGAGTTTTGACGAGTACGCCGTCCAGGAAAGCCCTCATCAGTGTACCAGTGCCCTCCGAACCGTGAGCCTCCAGCAAAGCGAACTCAACAAGCTGCAACTGAGAAAGCAGGGCGAGATACGTCCCATCAGGATCAGAAGCCTGAGTACATCACACCATCAACTCCGACTGCAGCTAGCTGATGAACGATATTACCCCAGCAACTTTGCGCATACCAGTACTCAAACTGTGCACATCTGTCATCAACTGGGACGCAAACAGACAGACCCCCAGCAAGTACGAAGGTTACAGAACTGTTTGCTTGCGATGTGCAGGCAGCATGCACGACGAACTGTCTCACCAATCCTGCCAAACTGAACCAGTGTAAGTTGATTGCGTGGATATGTCTCTATTTATAACAGCTACCCTACTTCTAGGCATGGTTGCATGAATACCATATCACTCAGAGCAGTTGTTAGAAGTCTGGACAGCCTAGGAATAGTGCAAGCAAAGTGAAACAAAAAATTATTACACTCCGAGTTCCACGCTTGCGGGATCACCAGGCCAAAAAAATCCAATTTCGAATAAGGAATGGGTTCTGGTTGTATGCGAAAGAAAAGTAAGTGAAGACCTATTGTGCAAGGAATACAGTGGGAACTACACATATTATACACATGCACTCACACCTTCACCCACATGCGCGCGCGCATGTGCGTGCACACACACAAACACAACAACACACACACATACGCACCCACATACTCAAACTCACTCCCACGCACGCTAGCCTAAGGATAGTACATATGCTGTAGTAGTGGTGTACTTAGTGAAATGACTATGTGTACATCTAATGACGCCGCCACTCCACGCCAGAAGACAACAAACATCTGCTGAACATTTTTGCTCTCGTCTCTTATGGGCAACACAGGGAATGAAACGAACCATGCAATTGAGAACAAGAGTCGTCCTGTACGGTGAAGTTTCCATTTTCTCATACAGCAGTATATTGTCTAAGCAAGTGTGTTTTCTCCACATTCTTTTTGCCATGCAGGTATATCACAGTGTCCTGCCAAACTACATTCTCAAACGCATTCGTTTCTCAATTCTGGGGATGATTGGACACGCACATCTCGCAGCTCTTGACGACGTCAATGTCAACCGTCGCCACAGCACAACCAAAAAGACCAATAATTATTTTCAAAACGAAACTCCGTCAAACCCACCCACCCACAAACGAAAACATTTCGTTTTGAAAATATTATTGGTAACCTTGGACGGCCCCTAAAGAAGGCTGGCCAAATAGAAATTATACGACAGAAAGAGCTATGAGTATGTTGACAAGCTCATGTGTGAGGTGGTAGCGGTTGCAAATGGCAACCTCGATGTTCCTGCCTTGGAGAAGCGAGTTTCCCTGCCAAATTCCAGGTGGAAGCCTCCTGAGAAGGCTGAGGTGGTGCAGAATTTGGATATCTTTGCCTGATGGTATTCACAACGCAGGCTGGAAGACGACAACGAACGTGCTTGCCCAATTTGCCGTGTACATAGTGTGTACTGCCTGTGTGCCGCATAGCGTAGAGATCTACACAAACACAGAATGTCATATGGAATGTGTATGATGAGTGCTTCGTGCTTGTACACATACCACATTGCTGTACCGTAATAATTATTATAGTCAAATACTCATTTACTCTACATATGCGCTGTATTGCACCTACCGGTACCTACCTGCACTTTCAGTGCGCGCGCCATACTAATTTAGTGTCCACTGGTACAAAGATGGAGGGTCTTGTAGAATTTACCATATTTGCTGATTTCAAATTGAATTCCAATGATCTGGGGGATGAATACTGATTAGGACGCGTTCGATTACCTACTAGTACAGAGATGTCTTGGTCAGAAAGTACAGATTTCTTACTCTCCTGCCAGAATTTGTGCATTATTTTGGTGTACACTTTCTTGACCCCACGCTTGTACGTTGCATGCCATGGTATACTAGAAAACGAGTTTATTGACAAAGTCTATCGCTTGAAACGATAAAGTATGGGTTCGGGTGTGATCAAATGCACCCATGGCGCTTATAAACCGTGTGCAGTGCTCTCTTCACCAACAGAACACAACCTACCATACTTTGTAGATCTCGTACCAATCCAAGGGAAAATGACAAAGACAAATGTGAGTCATGCATGAAAACTTGTGATAGCACTATAGTACAGAACAACGTTGTTCGTGCTATGCCTGACAACAATAAGTTACACACAAAACATTACGCGCATCGATCCTCACAAGATAAGTCAAGACATACTCGGAGCAAAGAGAAATTTGTTTGTGTCATGCATGAAACTTGTGATAACTACCAGTACAATGTCTTTCTTGTGCGACGCCTGCTGTAGTGCGCCTGACAACAATAAATTTCCCCAAAAAAATAAGAATAAGTGTATCATGCTGATACGCGCTCCTCACAAGACAAGTCAAGGCAAACTAATTGAGGCTTACCTAATGTTAGACTCTTCTGTCACTGGCATTGGCGGCTTCTGCATGTCGAGATAACCTCGAAGAGCAGTGATGGGCACAGCCTAATGCAAGGATACGATCTCGTAATCTGCGAGGTCCGCTACGCAAGAAACCTTGGGCCGTCTTGTCGACAACGACGGCAGCATCCTACCAGCAAAATCATTCCCGCAGGCTGGGCATGGCTATACACTTTTGTCCACGCTCGCACCAGTCGGAGTCCCAAACGAATCGAGATTCTGGTGGCCAAGCTACTCGTCTTCTGTCGGACGCAGCTGCTGAAGCATCTTCTTCCTCAACATTTGTTACACGCGATGGCAGCTCCTCAGCAGAGTATCTGGGCTCCCTGCCCCAACCATACGCGGCGGTGGGCTGTTGGTCGTCCTCACTGGCCTCAGCATCGCTGCCTTCATTGCTGGGGACAGAGGATTGTTCGGAATCGCCCATCTTCCCTTGAAATACCAACTAAAATTAGTGCTTGTAGATTGGCGAAGAGAAACGACTTTGCCACAATGACGTAGGCAGCCCGTGATGATGTAACCAAATGGCCGCATGACGTCAGGGCGCGGCCCCCGTTTTTGCAATTTCAAAGTGAAATATCTCAAGAACGCTTCGTCGTAGAGGCTTCGGACCAAGACCATTCGACTCAGCGCCCGAAACTCTACAGGCTATCAAAGTTTCATTTTTTCGTGGAGTTCCCCTTTAAGTAAATCAGGTCGAGCTGACAGTGTGTTAAAATCTTGTTAAAGGGGAAGTGCGGCTCAAATGCACAACTAAAATTAATGTTGTGTTCTTCTGGGTGTAATTGTCATTGTCTGTGATTGTACTGTTTCCACAGCGAATGGTCGAGCAATGTCGCCTTAGACACCATTCTTCACATTGACGTCAGCAATTTTAGTAGCAACAGTTTTGATGACAGGTATGCTGCAATCCCGTCTACATATACGTCAGCAGTGCCATTGTCCTCCGTGTCAACTATACCACATGGTTGGGCAGTGATCGGCCGCATACTACATCATGTTCCTCCCTTCAGACCCGCGCCAGCTGCCGCCCGTCCAGGACCAGCAGCACAACCTCCAGCTAACCCCCAACATCCGCTGGCGGCTAAAGCTGGTCGTCACGCCTCAGCATCAACGGTGACACGGAGCGCTCTGCAACAGCAGCAGCAGCAGCGGCGATGGCGGCCAGTGGAGGAGCAGACGGCGCCACAAACACATCCGGCCGCTGCCGCACCAATCCCTAACGACACGTATTCAGATTTGAGCGGCTCAAGCGGGTTGGTGGGGTCCAGTCCTCCTCTGGTACTTCCCGCAATACTGTCATGCTCGCTTGTATCCATGCCACCACTGCCGACGGCAGCATCTCCAGAAAGCACGAACAGCAGCAACTCAGAACTGGAATTGGCCCACACAATCTCAGCAATGTGTAGTAGCATGGCGGAGAGCATATCCTCTACAGGACAACAACACGGAACTTCAGCAGCGGAAGTTGAGAACGACCCGATGATGAAAGACCCCGAAGCCGTAGTAAAGTCAACCAGCCTGGCAACCCCGCAAGCCACCGCTGCCATATCAGCACCAACAGTATCGAGTGGTGCTGGGTCAGAACCACGCATTTATGTGGGCCAACTACGAGTTCGTTACGGCCGCCGTATCCACCTGCCGGAAAGACTGAGCTCGATAACACGATACTTCGCCGAGTTAGTTCAGCTGCCAAGCACAGTGCGTGTTCAAAACGACTCCCAGGACATATTTCCGTACCGGATCGCCGACGATAGCTCCAAGTATTGTTACGGTAAAGAGACTGGCCGCCGCTGCAGGCACTGTCGGGGAAGTTTCCAGCACCCCGACTGCTTTGTCGTACCGCACCCTGGATGTTACGTAAGTGTGTACTCTGGTAAAACCGCACTACAAGACATTAGTTCAGGTGCTGTTAACGGCCATTGTGCGAGTGCTCGCATCAAGTGTTTATCTGTTAGGGGAAAGGGGAAGTACGGATTGGGACCCATGCAGCATGTTGGCACCGTTTGTTCGCTTAAGGGCAAGTCCACGTCAACTGTTCACACTACGATAGCAGCTGTGCATAATACATAATGAACTGTACAAAGTCCATGATAGCAGCTGTGCATAACACATAATGAACTGTGCACAGTCCATATAAGTATGCAAAACTGTACTAGAGCTGGATGTACAGTGCTGGACGGAGAAATCCAACCTCATGAACAAAAGCAGCGCTGTGTTCAAGTGCACAGACCAGTGTGCGTGTGTGTGTGTAGTGCTAGGGCTGCGTAGCGTCCGGCAACGCTATTTTATTCATGAGGTTGGATTTCTTTTAAAACTATGGCACGGTGCCCTCCCTCCGCCACTCCATCTCCCAGAAAGGTTTTCCTGGGTTTTTGAGAAAGTTTACGCACAAGAGAGAGAGAGAGGGGGGGGACTGTGTTGCAACTCCGAGTTTCCCGTAGTCGCGCTCATCAGGCATAAGAAAGTTCATAGAACTATCAAAGGCAGGGTTCTAGCCAGGTCAAAATAGTAGGGGGCGGGAATGGGAAACAATTAGACTGTATCCCCTTTTTCACTTTCCAATATTGTCTTGCAACGCTAAATGCAACGTATGGGGCGAATCCCCGATTTCAGCCTCGCAGCCTAGACTGTTCTTATTTTCATGTATGTCAGTGTGTGTGCAGTTGAACCACCGTGTACTGTATACATTGGTACGATGTGCTTGGTGAAATTCTAGCCTGGCTGTTCTTCGGCGCTCCGTTCTTCGGCGCTCCGACAGTACTGTATTGAAGGTATCCATGGCCTTGTTTCCTGTGTGCTTATATGTGTTTCGTCGTAGTTCCATCATCGCTGTGCCTATGAAGCATTTCACGAGAGCGTATTTTGCCCACTTGATGGACTGCCTCTGGTGGAATTTGTGAAAAATATCGACGTTTGCTTGGAGTTGCTGAAGAAATACAGAATCTTCGATGCATCTGAACAGACGCTGGCTGCTAAGTGCGCGGCGTGCCGTTCTCGACTCTCCAAGCCGTCCAAATCGAACTTTGTCGTGGCAGAGTGTGGTTGTATGGTGAGTATGCACGGTTCAATGTCTACATGTGCAGTGTGCGCACAGTGTGGACATGTATACATGCAAAGTGAGTGCAAAGTGAGTGCACAATGCGTAGTCTATACATGCACGGTGAGTGCCCAGTGAGTGCCCAGTGAGTGCATGTAGTGTCTTTATGCACAGTGAGTGCACAGTGTAGACATCTAGACATGAACATGTATGGAATCGACACATTAGGAACTTTTTTTTAAAGAAAGGGACTGTTTGGGTTTAGAAACAAAATGACTTTGTGATGCATGGAACGTTTTTTCATTGTTTTAAAAGTGGTGCCGTGGAGAAGAAAAAGAAGAAAATGAATTTTGTACATTCAGGCATCTACCATCACTTGACATACGCACCACAGGGATATCGGGAAAAACTGGCACAATTCACAGCCAACAAAGGCAACTGGCGAGGCGACGATTGTACAGTCACCTACCTGTGCCTATATATTTGGCATGGTGCATCCATATGTAATTTGACCCCGCTTCCTATTTCACACCTTCGCGTACGCACATGCACCAGCGGTAACTGTTGCGTGCCTGTGCTGTTTACATGCCTACTCTGTTCCCCGTGTTCTGGACTTCTCCTTCTGTCTTCATCAAGTATAGTTTGTAATTCCTACCGGAGTGTGATGGTTGTGTTGGATTGAGAGAGTGTGCATGGGCATTTATCCTTAGTGCTGTTGCAGTAACGCAACACTTGGTGTCAGAACTGGTACCCCGAACCCTCGCCACCGGACCCGCTCGCCATGGCGAAATTTCAGCCCCCTGAAAGCTTCGACTTTTCCGCACCTGAGAATTGGCCCCGCTGGAAAAGCCGATTCACACGCTTCCAGATTGCTACCAAACTCTCTTCCGAATCCGCAGATGTCCAAATCTCCACTCTCATCTACTCTCTGGGCCCAACTGCGGATGATATCTTCCAGCGTGAGTTGTCCTTCGCCCAAGATTCCGACAAGGACGACTTCGATAAAGTGGTCGATGCTTTCGACAAGTACTTTGCACCTGCGGACAATGTTATCCACGAACGGACGCAGTTCGCTCGTCTCCGCCAGCTCCCCGGTGAGTCCGTAGCCACGTTCTCAAGCCGACTCCACTCTGTCGCGGCGAGATGCCGTTTCGACAAGCCGTCAGAACGGATCCGCGATCACCTCGTCGCCCACATGGCTGATTCTGAAGTGAGTAAGGCGATGCAGAAAAAGGACATAGGCTCCCTCACCCTCGCCGATGTTCTCAAGGAGGCCAAGGCAGCTGAGACCCTCGAAATCCAGCTAGCCACTCAGCGCTCCGCAGCCACTCAGCCCTCCGTCGCAGCCGCTGTCGCTCGCGGACATCACAAACAATCTCGTGGAACTGGCAGACCGAAGAATGCTCCCGCTGCATCTCGCCAGTCCGCGCCTAGCTACTCGACACGTGGCCCTCCAGCAACCTCTGCTCCGCGCGCTCCCTGCTCCGGCTGTGGCTCATCCAGTGGTCACTCGCGCCGCGAGTGTCCTGCTTGGTCCGTCGAGTGCCGTAAGTGCCAGCGTCGTGGTCACTTTGCCAAAGTGTGTCGTAGCTCTCGTCAAGTGGGCGCGAGTGAGATGTCTGACCATCCGGTGAGTGATTCTGCTAGTGCTAGTGCTAGTGCTAGTTGTTTTATGGGTAGTGCTTCATCCGAGTCACAGGAACCCAGTATCTGTGTTTTGAGTTCAGTATCCATTCCTGACTCAACTGAACCCTGGCTTGTTGAGCTCCCCATCAATGGCCAGTCAGTGTTGTTCAAGCTGGACTCTGGCGCAGACTGCACACTCCTGTCACTGCCTTCCTACAATAGCCTCAGTCCTCAACCTAAGCTCACCCCGATCTCCACTAAGGTCACTGGACCTGACGGCCAACCTCTACCCATACACGGTGCATTTGTTGCTGCCAGCTCCTGGAAGGACCGCAACGTCACTTTCCGTGTTATTGTTGTTGATGGCCCCAGCAACCTCCTGAGCCGCAGTGTGTGCCAGGACCTGAACCTCCTGTCTTGCGATGTGTCCGAGGCATCCGCAAGCCCTCCGTCCGCTCCTCCTGTCATTGGTCGCATGTCCGGTCCTGCAGCTACCATCGAGCTGCAAGACAATGCCCAACCATATCACTGCCAGACCGCACGACGAGTTCCCATCCACCTGCAAGCCAAGGTCAAGACCGAACTTGACCGGATGGTCCAGATGGGAGTCATCTCTCCTGTCACCGATCCGACCGACTGGTGTGCGCCCATGGTGCCCGTGCTCAAGAAGAATGGCTCCATCCGCATCTGCGTGGATCTCAAACGCCTGAACCAGTCCGTGAAGCGTTCACACTTCACTCTGCCGACCATCGAAGACACCCTGGGCAAGCTGTCCGGAGCCAAGGTCTTCTCGTCGCTTGACACGGCGTCTGGGTTCTGGCAAGTTCCACTTGCTGACGACAGTGCGTCACTCACTACGTTCATGACACCGTTTGGCCGGTTTCACTTCAACCGTCTACCCTTTGGTATCACCAGTGCGCCAGAGGTTTTCCAGCGTCGCCTACTGGAAATCGTTGGGCACATTCCCAACGTGGTCGTCTTCATGGATGACATCCTCGTGTTCGGTGCCACTCTAGCTGAGCACGATGCTGCCCTCACTGCTGTCCACGCAGCTCTCGCTTCTGCAGGCGTACTCCTCAACCCCGCCAAGAGTCGCCTCCGTATGAAGTCCCTGACGTTCCTGGGTCACCTCATCGGTGCTGACGGTGTCCGCCCCGACCCAGCCAAGGTGTCTGCCATCCAAGCTCTGAAGTCACCGACCAATGTGCCCGAGTTACGCCGTGCTCTGGGTATGTTCACGTTTCTGGCGAAGTTTGTGCCAGATATGGCCAATGTCAGTGCCCCGCTCCGTGCTCTACTGAAGGCCGACACCGCCTGGCAGTGGGACACCCAGCAAGAAACTGCCTTCTGTCGCCTCAAGGAACTCGCTACTACTGCTCCCTGCTTGGCACTGTTCTCGCCCGACCAGCCCGTCCGTATTAGTGCTGATGCCAGTAGCTACGGACTGGGTGCTGTCCTCCTGCAGCCTGATGGCTCCCGCTGGCGCCCTGTTGCCTATGCGTCCCGCTCTCTATCTCCTACTGAGCAGCGCTATGCCCAGATTGAGAAAGAGTGTCTCGCCATCGTTTGGGCATGCGAGCATTTCCACCACTACATCTACGGCGGTCCTCAGTTCACAGTCGAGACTGACCACAAGCCTCTCGTGCCTCTCATCAACTCCGCTGATCTCACCCGCTCTCCTCTGCGATGCCAGAGACTCCTGATGCGGCTGATGAGGTACAACCCAACCGCTATCCACGTGCCCGGCAAATCACTCGTCATTGCCGACACCCTATCCCGTGCTCCGCAAGAGTCCTCGCCTACTAGTGATCTTGCTGATGAAGTACAGCTGCATGTGTCTGCCGTCACATCGCATTGCTCCACCGACCCGCTCCTGGTCGACGTTCGGAACGCGACCAACGCTGATGCCGACATGTGTCGCCTCCGTGCCCTCATCCTCAACGGGTGGCCAGCCAAGCCCACCTCGGTCCCCGCTAGCCTCCGCCCGTACTTCGCTGTTCGTGATGAGCTCTCAACTGCTGATGGTCTCATATTCCGTGGCCAACGTGTCATCATCCCTGCATCCCAGCGCAACGCCGCCCTTGCCAGTGCTCACGAGGGTCACCAAGGCGTTGGTAAGTGTCGTGCTCGTGCGCGCGCTGTGATGTGGTGGCCTGGTATGTCTACGGACATTGAGTCGTATGTGATGTCTTGTACCACCTGTGCCAAGGCCCGTCCTAACCCAGCCGAGCCGCTCATCTCGTCCGAGTTCCCATCTCTTCCATGGTCAAAGATCGCGTGTGATCTGTGTGCAGCCAAAGGATCCACTTACCTAGTTGTTGTCGACTATTTCTCGCGCTACATCGAAGTCAAACAACTTACCACTACTACGTCTGCCGCTGTGATTGCCTCTCTCCACTCCGTGTTTTCTACCCATGGTATTCCACACACGCTAGTGTCTGACAACGGTCCACAATTTGCTAGTGCCAGCTTCCGTGCATTTGCTGCCGAGCTTGGGTTTGCCCATCGCACGTCAAGTCCTCGCTTCGCCCAAAGCAACGGCGCTGCAGAACGTGCCGTTCAGACAGCCAAGCAGCTCATCCTCAAGAATGATGACTTGCCTTCCGCTCTCTTGGCCTACCGGTCTACGCCATTGGCCAACGGTTATTCACCGTCACAGCTGTTGTTTGGCCGCCAAATCCGCTCCCGGCTACCAGGACCCCTCCCTGCTCCAGCCTGGCCCGATTTGACCGCCCTTGCCGACAAGGAAGCATCTTCCAGGTCTCGGCAGGCTGATCGCTACAATGAACGCCACCGTGCTCGACTGCTGCCTGTTCTCGCCCCTGGTGCTCCTGTGTATGTCCCCGATATGGACAAAACTGGACACGTCCAGAACCGCCTGTCCGAACGCTCTTACACGATCGACCTCACTCCTGGGTCATCTGTCCGCCGAAATCGTCGCCACGTGCGTGCGTTGCCATCCACGCCAGCCAAACGCCCTGATCCCTCCCACTCACCCTCCTCCATTGAGCCCCTGTATGAGGTTGAGTATGGTGTTCCTGCTCCTGTGCATGTTGCCCTGCAACCACCAGCTAACTCTACTCTGCCGCCTCTTCTGCCTGTGCCGCAGTCTCCTCGAGTTGCTAAGCCTCTGCCACCCGGTCGCAGACCACCATCCAGCCGTGTTCGCCATGCGCCGCAACGCTATGCTGACAATACCTGAACACAGTAACACTGTTTACTCCATGTGTTCCATTTGAACTATGGCTGTGTTCTTTTCATGTTTTTTTTTCTCTATCATTCTGAGTAATGCTCACTCTGGTACCCGCTCCAGACCTGCTATCGTTCCTTTTCCTCTCTCCTTTGCTCCACACTTTCTCGTGTCCCTCCGTTCGCATTTTTTTCGG